ATTTTGCTACTTCAAACCGGCAGGCTACTTGTTATGCTGTTGGATGATCATGTCGGCCTTTTCAGAGTGGGAAGTTTTTAACGTTGTTGCATGTGTTTTTGGGACTATTTATGCCATCAAAATATGACTCAAACACGCAGCTTAACGCCAGCCAGCAGGGGCACCGGCTTCGGTCGGTGTGTAGGGGACTAGCGCCCCCTCGAGTCCCAGCTCCGGCAACGGATGGACAGCGCAACCTGTTCACCCTCAGGGCGTAGCGACCCTGCCGGTACGTGAGCTCCTGCTCCTTACGCCACCCGCTCCTTTCCCATTACCCGCTTTCCCGCATCCGGCCCTATCACCACTCCTCATCCTTGTTTCATCGGGGTCGCCGTGCCCCCTCGTCCGCGTCCCCGGGTTGATCGGATCCTGTTGGTTGAAGGGCGCGTCGTGCGGGTCGGTCACGGCGCGTCCCAACACTCCACTTTGGCCAGGATATCCGGGGGCGTGGGGGGGGGGGCCGTGGGGCCCCTACGGGTCCAGCGGCTTGTCGCTCGCGCTGCGGTTGGGTGTTCCGTGCGGCTCTCCGTTGGTGGTGCCTGACCGCGCGCGGCGGCTTAAGGGGTCAAGGGGCGGCGGCGCTGAACCGCGGTCAGGACGGGGAGGGGCCTCTCCAGTCACACCTGGCCGTGCGGGAGGCGTCGTTCGCCCCGTATGGCACCGAGGCAGCCCTGGCGGTGGCCACCTCCCGAGGGAGAGTTGGACCGTCCCCCAGTTGGGCTCCGAGGTGGGTGGCGGAACACCCGGTGCCGAATGCTTGCTAGAAATCGCATGGGTCATTAAAACTCAACAAACACCTGACCCCCTGAAAGGAGGCCGGACAGCGCTGAGGCCCGGGTGCGAGGGGGATTTGCCCCCCCCCCCCTTGCCCTCGGATTCTGATCTTCTCCAACGGAGATGTAAAGCTTTCCATCCCTGTCACCTTTCCAACGACGCAACGGCTGTGGCAAGTTCGGAGACATCACGAGATGTGACAAGCTGAGGGATGGCAGCATCGAGGTAGAGTTCGCCAGTAGTCCTGCAGGCTAAGCGTGCATTAGAAACGAAGGAGTTCATTTATAGTATTCGTGGTGTGAGAACGGGAAGCATGAGAAAATCGTAGGTTTGACAGTAACACCACACAACACAAAAAAACTAATCTAGAGGCGTCGTAAATTGTTCTGACCTTCGTGATGTAAGTGGGAGCGGAATCGTCGAGGAGCTTTCGGAGTTCGACGTAACCGCCGCGCGTAGAATCCTGGTTAGGAGAGCAGGAGAACTTAATGCTACGAACAACATCATTCTCACTTTCAGTCGTCCAGATTTACCATCAGATACCCGTGTGGGCTATGCCCGCGTGAAAGTCCGTCCGTTTGTTGTTTCCAATGCCATTGGTTCGGTCACACGAAACCCCATTATCGCAATAAGCCAGCGTGCACGTCTCCCTAGGGCGTCCGATGCAGATAAAGCCAAAAGCTCAGCACAATGGCCCACTACCGTCGACGAGACGTCAGTTCTTCAGCCCATCTCGCTGCTGAGGTCTTACGGACTCTCAGTGGTGGCGGCAGGGCAGGTGGCTGGCGCCCAGCCGGAACCCTTGCCTCCTTCCCCGAAACCGGCCTGTTCAGCAGCGTCCACGCTGCCAACCACCTCCCTGTGCCGCTGCCACATTCTGGAGAGGTGGGGTGGACGGTGTTCCGACGCTGCCGTGATCCGCGGCCGCCGACGCGCCTTAAAACACCGAATCACCGCCAGCAATCGGCGGCCTCCGCCGTCACCCGCGCCAGCCATCTGCTGCCCTCGTCGGCTGCCGTTTTGGGCACGGCGCTGCCTTCGTCGCCTCGAACGCCACTGGAATGTGCGTGTGGACGAGCGTTTATACAATTGGTAGGTGGACCACAAAGCCCTTGTACGGTTTGTTTCCTACGCTTTAGGTTCCCACACGCAGCTGACGGTTGCCTGGGCGAATAACACATTGATGGCAATCTCCTGGCATAGTTTTGATTATAGTTCTCTTGACATAGGCTCTTACCAAAAGAATATGGGTGCAAATAGCCCATGCAGTTCAAGCGTCCTTAAAACTCAATACCTAACTAACTGCCTGTGAACCCGTGTGTCGTGGCCCATAAAGCGAGCCACGATATCCATCTCGGTTTCGCTGAGTTGCGGCAGCTGCAGCACACTAGCCACATGCTTTCTGTACTTCATGGCCGTGATGTTATCTACGCGTGCCTTCCGTGCGAATATCAGTACGCAGTCGCTGCCTCTGAGCGTGCTGGCATCTGGGGCTGCGCTGTTGACGAAAATGTGCGGACAGTCGCGAGGGATCCCAGCATCCTCCCCCGCTGCGATTACCTGGTCAAGCGCCCCTCGCATTATGGCTGTCAGCATGATGGGCACGTCGCTTCCTCTTTTGCCTCGAAACACTACATGTCCCAGCGAATGACATAGCTCTCGCTCTAAGGGAGACGGTGCTGCAAGATGTCCTCATTGACAGTTTGATCGCCTTTAGTGTATGATCTGACGGTAAGCCTTGACGCTTTTCCCGGCCTCTGCCGGTTACACAAAATGATGGATGCCAGCGCAGCTTCCGACACCTTGACATAGTTCGTGATGAAGCGTTCCTTTTCCAACACCCGCTGAGCCTGCACCAACTCACTCTACACCTCCTTCGTAACACTGAACATCCGCATTGAGGGCGAGCTCAACGGGCTTGTTCCATTTCCTTTTGTGAAGAGTCGTAGGCGCGAGAAGGCACGTGCAGCTTCCAATTTCGTTGGCAGAGCAGGAGGAAGTCGCCATCCTGGTGGCGCTTTCGTCGGCGATCCCGCTCGTTTTCCTTGTGCCCGCGCATTTACTGAAGCTTGAGAGCAAGCAATGGATTATGATATTTACCCTCCTTTACACCGGTCAGCTGCCTGACCGCGCTTACCACTTCCATGAACTTTGATGGGTGAATACACATCTCTAGACCTGATCCTGGGCCTGATGCATTCAGCTCCCGGAACAGTCGTCCTAGCTCCCTTATTTTTCCCTGATATGTGCATGTTTGCGGCGCTCGTGGCCCAGTTTTGCGTAGAAACGGGCATCGAACTCCATAAGCATGTTCCAAAGAAGCTGAAGACCGTCCGCTCTATCACATTTGGTGCCCAAATGAAGAAACTGTTTCGGGAAAGCGACATGAGTCTGCGTGGTGTGCTGAGGTCGCGTCCTGTATTATTGCCTCCATGAGAGCTTATCTCATCAAAAGTGGATGTATCCTTTCATGCACCAGCAAACAGGGAGCGATCCCACGCGACTTGAGATCGAAGGCTCTGCAGCACACCGGGTCGTATATAGGTTCTCAAGCAATGTGCCGCAAGCAATGTGCCGCAATCAAACAATCCACTCCAGTTGTTGTCATTTATTTTGTTGTTCGCCTCCGAAGCTATTTCCACTAGGGTACACAGGACATTCCCTAACAACAGAAACGTTCATTTATACTCTAAGCAAACCGTGCAAATGATGTCAATGATGACTGACTTTCAGAGCATGAGCTAAGCAACCTGAATCCAGTTTCTAACAGCGAATGTTCACAACCGCTGCGACAAACCGCAGCGATCCGCGGTGAACACGGTGCGTCCATCTTGCTCACCTCTATCCCACCATTTCACACCATCACCTCACCAAAGCAGTTACGGTATGAAGTGCACCACTGAGTCGTGTAATTGATCCCGATGTCTTTCGAAGTCTCGAAAGCCGTGACACATCACGGTGGTGTTTTCCCTCACGGAGTCCACCTGCCGGAGTCCACCTGCCGGAGTCCACCTGCCGGAGTCCACCTGCCGGAGTCCACCTGCCGGAGTCCCCTGCCGGAGTCCACCTGCCGAAGTCCACCTGCCGGAGTCCACCTGCCGGAGTCCACCTGCCGGAGTCCGCCTGCCGGAGTCCACCTGCCGGAGTCCACCTGACGGAGTCCACCTGCCGGAGTCCACCTGCCGGAGTCCACCTGCCGGAGTCCGCCTGCCGGAGTCCACCGAGTCCATCCGCCGATGTGCACGGTGTGCACGGTGTGCACAGCACACCACATCGGGCGGATATGTGGTGTGCTGGTCACCACAGGCGGTCTGTGCACACCGCGCCGTGCTGGTCACCACAGGCGGCCTCTGTGCCGTGGGGATCCTGGGCCTCCATCATGCACCATAGCACATGCACGACCCTCTGGCGCGCCCTGAAGCTAAGGCTGCCTGAACCAGAACGCCAATCAAGACAGCACATACCGCGGGCGCCCCGATACGCCTCGCGCTGGCTAAACCGCATAGCGGATGTGGTTGCTCATTTGAATCACCAATTGACCGGTTTGGGTTGCGTTTGCCTTCGCTCCGTTACTTTCCCCACACGTCGCCTTGACGGTCTCGCCGTCGGCCACCGCCGCCGCTGACGCCCTGACACTCCGCCGCGACCGACGCAGCGCCTGCACACCCCTCGAGATCCGGCGCAGCGCCCGTACACCCCTCGAGATCCGGCGCAGCGTCTGTACACCCCTCGAGATCTGGCGCAGCGCCTGTATACCCCTGGAGATCCGGCGCAGCGCCTGTACGCCCCTCGAGGTCCGGCGCAGCGCCCGTACACCCCTCGAGATCCGGCGCAGCGCCTGTACACCCCTCGAGATCCGGCGCAGCGCCCGTACACCCCTCGAGATCCGGCGCAGCGTCTGTACACCCCTCGAGATCTGGCGCAGCGCCCGTATACCCCTGGAGACCCGGCACAGCGCCTGTACGCCCCTCGAGGTCCGGCGCAGCGCCCTTGCACCCCTTGAGATCCGGCGCAGCGCCCGTACACCCCTCGCACTCCGGCGCAGCGCACGTAAACCGCCGAGATCCGGCGCGGCACCTGTACACCCCTCGATAGCCAGCGCGATATCGTACACCTCTATATACACAGGGATATCGTACACCTCTCGTTACCCGGCGCAGCGCCTGTACATCTCTCGGCAGCCAGCACTACTGGAGGCGGCAGACGCTGCTCTCCTTCTGGCGGACACTGCCGCCGGCCGCGCCGTTCGAGGCGCTCGTGCCGCCCTCTGGCTCGCCTCCGGCCTCCGAGTTGCCCACAGAGGCGACGAAAAAGGTTTCCATGTGGCCTTTGCCCTTGATCTCAATGCCGCCTCGTGGCTCCACGGCGAACGGACCCCTCTCCTCGTCCAGCTTCCTGTGAAGAGGGAGACGGAAGATCAGACATGGTCGTCAAAAGACGCAAGAATGTCTCATCAGCCACGATGAATCACACGTCACCGCCACACATCGCTTTTCCGTGGTTTCAGAGATGTCATACATCAAAAATGTATGGCCCTCTCGGCGAGATGACGAGTAGTTACTGGCCGCTGCCAACAGATGGCGGGCTTGTCAAGTCGCGCGCACGAGCGCAGCGCACCACGGGTCAGGGCGAACCGCTACTCTTGGACCTCGCTTGGGTGCACGGGGAACGCTACGTAGCTCTGGAGCCACGGCGTTCGGCTGGGGCCCTCACTTTCCTACGTTTTTTTTTGTGCAAGTACATAGTGAAACTAGCGAGCTGCAGTTGTGCAAGTCGTCGAGGCCGCGCGACAAGATGCGGATGGGAGGGTCTCAAGGGAAATGTGACGGACAGAAGATTTTGGTAGAAGCATGGGATTCCAGCACCTTCCCTATTCCCCTCCTCGTATTCTTGAAATCGTATTGAAGCAGCATTGGCCTGAAATGAGTCACACTCTCCTTAAGTTTGTGATTTACAAACTATTTCCGGGATCACGCCAAGGCTCACGTAAATAGCGCCGTTTACATTTTTGACAAGTTTTCTCACTTGAAATTCAGTTAAAATTGATCGATCAAAAAGTATGTAAGGTGGCCCGGGGGCGACTGCAAACGTGTCTCGTCGGCCACAATGTCGGCTCGGCCGAGTGCCTGTGCCTGCAGTGAATCGCATTTTAAAACGGTAGGCAGGTTTTAACTGGCTATGGAGAGGTGGACGGGCGCTGCATCGGACCTCAGAAACTCAGGCTGACGTCGGGGCTCTGTCAAATGAGAGTTATTTATGACTCAATAAGCTGGTATCACCAGTGAGAGCTAATTTTGGCGCTGGTTGACCGTCGCCTCTTCAGATCACGTCGCGCGTCCCCTTATAAGTGCTCGCGTGCCCGGTGGAGCCGACCTTATCGCCGACGAGACACGATTGCGGCTGCCTGGCTGCCAGAATACTTGCAAATCGACTACTTTTACCTGCACTTCAGGTGAGAAAACTTGTAGGAAATGTCCGTGGCACTACTTTACGTCACGTCGGCGGTCTCCAGAAGCGCGCTGAAGTCTGTCTTTTTCACGAGGCATCGCGTTCGCCGCCACACTGTCGGTGAGGCTCTGTCGATGTTGACGGCATGTGGGCTAGCCTCATACGCTGAAGCCAGGCTCGCCAGGATTCCGCTGGTCGGGAATGTTTTGAGTAGCGCGTTCTCATTGCAATCGATCATCATATGCCAACACGCGATTTGTGTTGGCTCAATTCGCGTCACATGCGACCTAATCACGACTTGCTACTTTGGTATGCAAAACGTGAAGACGGGTATATGAGGATTCCTGCAGATTTTCTCAAGCTCTAAAGGGGATATTCCATATTTGGAGATATTGAAACAAGTATGAGATATGATGGATAAAGCTCACTTATAACCGTTGGTATACTTTTCAGTTGAAAAACTGCTCTAAACACCATATATCTCTGTTCAGTCAATATCCTCCTCAATATGTCATCGCTTAAGTACTTGATCATACCCTGCATAACATTTATTGAGAGCGAACTGATTGCCGTTATATCTAAAGTAGAAATCGTGCTCACGGACGCCAGATATGATCGACTCGACAATTCTATTTTTCTCGGCCTTGATCGCGGAATGGTGAATGGCATGACATGATTTGAATGTCATTATTATGTCGTCATCGATACCTGGGTGACCTTGAAATAATCTCCCGAAAGAGCCTGCACATCTTTGCAGGCGTGTAGCCCAGCAACTACAGGGGCTTAGGTATTAAGAAGGGCAGGGCTGTAAACCGCACAGATTGATCTTCAAAATGACTATTTCAGTTAAACCCAATACAAATGTGTAACACTTTATTGAACATATCATCATTAAAGATGCGCTCCTCAGCGGTCTGACCAACGGAGCCTTTCCAGCATTTTCCAGCACTATACATGATATGAGAAGTCATTTTCATAACTTCCGATCGGTTCCAAAAAGGGGAAAAAGGGCAATGTGCACGCAGTGGAAGTTATACCTAATTGAGTTCAATAGCACATCCTAAGCAACCTCACAAGCCATCCCGTGCTGTTCTGCCTGTGGACCTCTACGCCTTGACGTACACGGCATGCCACGTCGCCACCATTTCTCGTTACAAGTCTTCCAGTATGTTAGGGGCTTCCACTCATCACGGTATCAATGCTCACCAGGAGCGTTTGCTTATCGCGAATTTTAACAGTCATCTTGAGCATTCCATCCAAGATTTTTCGCTTACATGAGTCTCTAGTCGTGTTCACGCTCGCTGGCACTAGCGCCGGCGTAGCACTCGATTGGCAGGAGTCCAGCTAGGCGAGGGACACCAGCACCAGCGCCGACGCACGGACGCGACGGTGGCGCCACCTCGGCTGTTCGGCTAACTCCGCGGTCTTCTCGGGGTCACCCGCCGCCCCGGTCCACTTATCATGCTCCAACAAACGGACACACAACTGAAGTTCACGCAACGTGTCTCGGCGTTGGTCGATTCGAATCGATCGTGTCGACTGTGACGACTCCGAATTTTGAAGTCATTAAAAAATCAGGTGACATTTCGTAAGCCCTTCCGCAACAGAACAGCCGCGTTTTCGGATTCTCCTAAGGATTTTTTGCCGTGATGCCATGTGACGCCAGTGAACAGCGATGTGCTGGTGCTAGTGTAGCCCGCTCAGCGTCCCTCCACGCGCCGACCATCGTCTGACACCGAACAAATAAAGATGCGCACGCGCGTGTGCCGGTGTGGCCTGGCCTTGGCTGTGGTATTTTGTGCTCGCACCAACGCAGAGACCCAGGCACGGGCCTGCCTAGCCCCTTCATCGTTACGCGAGCTTGCACTTCGGTGCAGTATTGTCGATAAATGACGGATGTCATCAGAGCCCGATAGCGCGCGCAGCTTGTTGCAGCGCGGGGTGCGTATGTGCTCCATTAACCGAACCCCTTAACCGAATCCCTTAACCGATTCGACTTTTTATAAACAAGAAAGGCATTAGGTTTCTGGTTTTCGACATTATCATTTGGGAGTGTTTATGCTGACAGTAATCGAATCTCGATTTACCAGGATTTACTGTTTTCAAATACTTATATACTAGTGGAGTATGATAGCATGATTACTGGTCTGGTCATGATATACTGGTCATATATACAGGTTTAGGTAAGCAGTGGGCGTTTTCTTGTGCAACATGATATGCGACGTCGGATATGCAACCGGTTAAACCCACATCTATTTCCTGAGATAAAATCTCTTAAAGGCAAAACATGACAAGGAATATCATAAAGTGCCGATCATATCACCGTGACATTAACTGACATGGCAGAGTACCATCGCCGGAAATAAATTGTCCACGTTCAACCACCCTTTATCAGGCTAATCTTACATGGACCAGAGCAGCGAGAGCCAGCGTTCCGCTGGGCCGGGTGCATCCCTGGTTTGCGTCTCCCTGGGCGCGCCCCTGATCGCGCTGGTCCTGGACACTGGCCTGCCTCGGTTGCCCACCGTTTGCAGTCGGCGCTGAGGTGGATGCGGCCGGGTACGCCGTGCGACTCCATCCGGCTGGCGACGTTGACTGTGTCGCCGAACAGGCAGTAGCGGGGCATCTTCTGACCCACCACACCGGCCACGGCCGGACCTGTGTGGATGCCGACCCGGATCTGTCGCGCCGCACCGAACCGAGGTCAACGGCCGCACAGGTCACGGGCACACGCGGAGGCTTGTGAGATCCTTTGGTGCCGAAAACCAGACGTGAAATACGGACATTTCCGCTGTTGGTTGCGAACTTTGTGAGCTTCGGTGATTTCAGTTAAATAATGAGCTGGTCCGAACGAACATTGTATCCCAACACATGGCTACGGCGGCCGACGACCCCACTGACCTCTGCTCGTGCTCCTGTCCGCGGACGCCGCCTGACTGACCTGGACCGGCGCCCCCGTGATCGGATGGGCCACCTCCTGGGCCAGCCGCACCATATCGATGGCCTGGCTGACCACACGCGTGGCGTGGTCGGGCACGCGGCTCGGTATGCCGCCCACCACCATGTACGCGTCTCCGATGGTCTCCACCTGAGGAAGGGGGGGGGGGGTGAGGAGCAGCGAGACGCGCGGGCTGCTCAGCGCGGGACGAGAGGGGCGAGATGGGGAGGAGGGGTGGGGGGTCTTGCTCGGCTAACTTCCTGCAATGTCCATGGGTCTGTCGTTTGTGGAGCTGCCATCTGGTCGTCGACGTGCCGCCCGAGGTTTAAGCTTCGTAAATCGGGGGGGGGGGGGGGGAAGAGAGCGTACATGTGAGAGATGGTTTTCGGCGAACGTAAGCAAACTTGATACCAAAGAGTGAATTCTATTGAAGATGAACCCTCGTCCTGATAGGGTGGGGAGTCCGATGTGGCCCCCCCCCCCTCCCCACTCCTCCCCCCTCTAAGGTTTTTGAGATTGCTCCTCCCGTATGTCTGGCAATCGTGCCGCCCATATTTTAGTAGCCTATGGGACATTTGTGCCACGTGTTTTGACATCAAAAACGTTTTCCTATCTTTTTTGGACATTGAATTTCTTTCAGCGGCCACAAGAACCGTGACGGTTTTTGAGGGACTTTGCACGGCGATCTCCAGCCGGCGCGGGCGGCAGGGCGACGCTCGGCGATGCAGCCGAACGCGAGCGGCGGGCCGACATTGTTATATTAATGAAATCATACAACATACAATTATGCTAGTCTAGGCTCTGTGTCGTCATGAGGTACTGGTCTGGTATGTATAGTGTTGTGAAGCCAAAATAACGGCAATTTTCTGGGAACATTGACATTTGTCCCGGCATAATGAGGTCAATTATTGGACCCAACAACATAACAACTAATATCGATCGCAAGATCACATTGGAACAAATCCTCTGATGTTTTTTTTCTCTAAGCTCTATCTTTACTACTTCGGGAACAGCCCAGGGATGCCCCATCGACTCTCCTATTAGTCAACGTTATGAAACACGGCGAATCAGGGCGAAGGCTACGGTAGGTCCGCTGAACCCGGCACGTCCGCGTCTTTCGTTTGTTGATAGACAACCTCTCATGCAGGGAATTGTCTATCCGTGACTGGTCCCTGGCGCGCAGCACACCTTGTACACGCCGTTGCTCTCTGTAGCGTCGTCGAACCGAGTGTACATCTCGTTGAGCAGCTGGACGATCTGGTGGGGCTGGCAGCGTGAGGCGATGACGGTGAAGGTGACGATGTCGCTGAAGAGCACTGCAGCGGCAGAGCACGTCACAGGGTGGGACCCTGCTACCTTTCTGAGTGGTCAGGCCGATGGTTTTCTATCTCTAGTAACCCACCGTGATGAGGAAAAGGTCATGAATGAAGTCATAATTGCTAGGGGCGCCGAGGAAAATGTCAGCTATATGAGACCCTGGCCAAGCTCAAGTCACCGGTGGTACTATAGGTCAGCTCACCAATGAAGCCACAACTCAGCTGACCGATGGAGCTACGGCCCAGCTCACCGATGGAGCTACGGCTCAGCTCACCGATGCAGCCACAGCTTAGCGCACCGGTGGTACTACAGCTCAGCTCGAGCCACAGCTCAGCTCACCGATGGTACTACAGCTCAGCTCACCGATGGAGCCACAGCTTAGCGCACCGGCGGTACTACAGCTCAGCTCACCAATGAAGCCACAGCAAAGCTCACCGATGGCGCCACACCTCAGCTGCCCGGTGCAGTCACAGCTCAGCTCACCCACCGGTGGCGCTGTCGAAGCTCTCCTCTGCACACGATCGCCGCTCTTCAGCTTGTGCGCCACCTCGGGCGGCAGCATGCTGTGAAGCAGCCGGTCCGTCTTGTCCTTCTCCCGCTCCAGCGCGGCTGCAGTGCGCTTTCAGCTCCGCCGTCGTCGCCTCTAGCCGCTGCCTGGGGTCAGAGTCTGAGTCGGCGTAGGTCTGTCTCCGCTTGGTAGCGATGATCTCTGGGCTGGCGCGATGGGTTTCAGTACACCACAGTGTATACTGTACCTGAATTAGCTAACTAATTTAGCCCGATCGCCGGTGTGGGCAGAGTCTTCGATGCATGCCACCACAGCTCTTACCGTCTAGGCAAGTAGCGATCAAATAGTGCTGGGGATGTTTGGAAGAAGATGCTCTTTAAATCTTCCGTTTTTCCCACTTTAATGTGGAATCACCGTTGCCTCCGGTGTCCAACTTTTTAAGCTCACTGACATGGCTCACAACTGTTCTTGCATGCACGTTGTGGGGCAAGCAGATGGTTATTCTCAGTGTCACTTGGCGCCATACCCAGCACTCCTGTTGCAAAATTGTTATAGCTGAGATGAATCTGAATATGATTAGGTATAAATATATTAATAATTTTTACTGTGCACATGTTTTGTATCGGGTTACTCACATGAGGTCGAATTCTGGGCTCCTCTGGTGTTTCAGCAGAATCAGCTCTCTCGTGGAGTCGGACCGTGGAATATCCGATATCTTGAGCGATTTCTCAGCAAGCTCTTCAAACTTTTTACCATTTGGGTTACCCAGGAAGAGGATCAAGTTGTCTGAGAGAAATATCAGCTCACCTGAAATATTTTTTGCCATCCACTAACCACATAATTTTCACATAACGTTCGGTAGTAAGTACCGCACACGACGCGCCGCGCGCGCGCGCGCGTGTGCTGGTACTTACTACCGATATTATATATATATATATATATATATCTATATATATATATATATATATAATATATATATATATATATATATATGATGTGTGTGTGTGGGTGTGGTGTGCGTGTGCGCACACACACCACACACCACCCATGTATATGCGCCACACACACATATATATTTTATACTATATATATATTATATATATAGATATATACATCATATATATATATATATATATATATATATCTATATATATTATATATAGGTGTGTGTGTGTGTGATGTGTGTGTGTGTGTGTGTGACGCGCGCGCGCGCGCGCGCAGCGCACACCACACACACACACACACACAACACACACACCACACCCCACACCACCACACACACACACACACACACACACACCACACACCACACACACACAACACACACACACAACACACAACACACATATATATATATATATATAATATATATATATATATATATATATATATATATATATATATATATATGCCGCCGTAACATAAACGATGCAAACCTATTTCTTATTTAGAACACTCTTCATCCGTCCATTTTTAATAACGTCTTAGATCGTTCCGATCAATATGCAGCTGAGTATAACCTCTAAATCCAAGACAGGTGACCGCATCGCATTGGGTGCCAATTTCCGACATCATATGTCGCCATGTCTGGTGCGCTGATTATGCATCACCAATTTGTATAATCTCCTAAGTAGTCCACCGAACCAGCCTGTGATATCGCACGCCGTTGGGGCTGAACGACCCAGTCGGCTTCTTGAGATTACATAGCATCGTCTGCCTTTTACGCCGGTAGGAAGGACAGGCACCGTATAAAATCCAACACCGTATCTCCAGTTTGTGCCTCTAGTACCCAGTACGCCTGTCCAGCCGCCATAGACTCTCTGACTCAGCCACGACCGTCGCATCATTACGACGGTCGGAATAATTACGACGGCAAGCGCGCCAGACACGCGACGCCAGCCGATGCCGTCGCGTTAACTCTCAGTACAGTCCCCCGGGTCTTGGCCGTGCCCTTGGTTCAACGGCGAACTGGAACACCAGGTTCTTGAAGCGCTCGACGTTCTCGTAGTTGAAGGTGGGTGTACGCCAGACCAGCTCCAGCAGCTGATCGACGGCCGGGAATGACGTCACTTCTGGACAGAGAGTACGCTTATGCCGAAGCCGTACTGCTGCACGGTCAGCGACCTGGAAGCGCCGCTGCCTCAGCTGCCTGCTGACCTGGGCGTGGCTGGCTAACTGTCTGATGACCTGGCCGGCTTTGGGGTGGGTCTGACTACGTTGGAACAGCGTTGGGGTCGCAGAGTCAACTGTCGTCAAATGATCTGGCTGGCAGATACGCCACCGGGGGAATCCCACGGCCTGTGCTTCGGCGGCGAGTCATTTGAGAGGAGTTGTCATCCTGTAACTTGTTAAGTGCATCTGCGAGGAACATATTTCACATAGGTAAGACAGAAGTTTAGCTTCAGTTCTCGGAGAAAAACCAGGAGAATGAGGACATAGATGCGTTAATGCATCTATATCTCCATTCTACTGGTCTTTCTTTGGGGATTAGCTAATACTACTGTCTTATGTTTGAGCTGTCATGCTGCCTGTTCCGGCGGACAATTGTAAATGTTTGTTACGTAGAAAATTTATTGGCTAGCAAACTGCCATTCGGAGAGCAGGAAGCACAGGCAGAGTTGGAGCAGGAGCAGGAAGCACAGGCAACTGGAGTTCATCGGCAGCGATCAGACATTGTGTATAAGCTAATGAGAGGACATATTTAACTTATACTGATCAAACTTGGGTCGAAGTTGTGGTCAGATACTGCGCCGCGCATGGCACGACAATGCATTTCTAAATGGCACGCATTAAGGCCAGCGGCCGTTCGTAACAGCCGTAACGTCTGTGGGGATTCGTAAACAAATTTTGGGAAGTTGTAGATAAGCATTTAAAACATCGCGAATACCGCGTAGACCTGCCACACCATTGTCCGAACGTTTAGATAACTGTGCTGCGATGCTTACGCATTGGACCACGCATAGGTGCACGCAGTCACGAGCGTCCTACCGTGATAGGCAGAACGTGCCAGTGCCAGGTCGCCGTCCCCCAATGGCGAGTCTGAGGCGTGATCAGAGCCGGATCCTTACTTGTCGAAGATGAAGTGGTAGGGATGGATTTCGGAGAACTCGTTGGTGCTGACGAAGTTGACGGCTGCCCGGCGCCAGCGAAGCCGGTAATGCCACCGTCATGGGCCGACTTGGCTCGCTCCATCGTCACCAGGTCCAGGGTCGGAGAGTCAATCTGGCCCACCTGGGTCACCCTGCCGCATTGGTAGCGTCAGCGGAATGGGCGATGACCTGCCGGACCTCCAGGTTAGAAGCCACGGCTCCAATACTGCGGGTGTGGCAAGACATTTTTCCACGAATGCTTTGTACGCGAAATCTTTCACAGAAGCATTATGAAGTTGCGTTGGCTCCTGTAGCTATTTGGTGTGCGAGTTTTTCGCAGCAGCGTCTGCAAACATTATCAGCCCTTAACCATGCGGGAGCGTTACGACCTTCAGATGCAGATTCACGCTGAAGAGACCACACCGAGTCACCTGATGTAGCTGGTCGGACCACACTCACTTGAACCGCACGTGATTCACCACCTCTGTTTCGTTTATTTTCTCCGCCTTTGTCCACATCACTTCAAACCGGACGGACAGGTTGTAGAAATTCTTTGCACAGCCTCTTAGCGCCCCTAAAAAACAGCAAGTGCCATAGCAAGCGAAGTTAACACCAGGAGCGTATCATCCAACTCATCAAACGCATGCTGATATTCACTCGATGCCGTGGATGGTGAGCATACTGGCGAATATTTGCTCGATGCTGGGGATGGTCAACATGCTGGCGAATATTCGCTCGATACTGGGGATGGTCAAAATACTGGCGATTATTCGCTGGATGCTGGGGATGGTCAACATACTGGCAAATATTTGCTCGATGCTGGGGATGGTCAACATACTGACGAAAGCACCCGACATAATTTCTGCTACCCTCTCACCGCTTTATCGTTTTATGGTACGAGCCAGGTGGTAGCTGGTGACATATGAGAAACGGCCATAAGGTCTGTTCGTTACTGCGAGCTTTGGAAAATCCCAAATAATTGGTGAGTACAAGCGACCTTGTTCATACCACCCAGCCCTCCAACAGTTCCATCACGCAGGGGAAACTCCAGGGGCTCATCGAGGCCGCGGCACCCCAATAGGTGTAGAATCGGGCTGTGGTGACATACCATCGAGGCCGCGGCACCCCAATAGGTGTAGAATCGGGCTGTGGGTGACATACCATCGAGGCCGCGGCTCCCCAATAGGTGTAGATCGGGCTGTGGTGACATACCAATCGAGGCCGCGGCACCCCAATAGGTGTAGAATCGGGCTGTGGTGACATACCATCGAGGCGCGGCACCCCAATAGGTGTAGAATCGGGCTGTGGTGACATACATCGAGGCCGCGGCTCCCCAATAGGTGTAGAATCGGGCTGTGGTGACATACCATCGAGGCCGCGGCTCCCCAATAGGTGTAGAATCGGGCTGTGGTGACATACCATCGAGGCCGCGGCACCCCAATAGGTGTAGAATCGGGCTGTGGTGACATACCATCGAGGCCGCGGCACCCCAATAGGTGTAGAATCGGGCTGTGGTGACATACCATCGAGGCCGCGGCACCCCAATAGGTGTAGAATCGGGCTGTGGTGACATACCATCGAGGCCGCGGCACCCCAATAGGTGTAGAATCGGGCTGTGGTGACATACCATCGAGGCCGCGGCACCCCAATAGGTGTAGAATCGGGCTGTGGTGACATACCATCGAGGCCGCGGCACCCCAATAGGTGTAGAATCGGGCTGTGGTGACATACCATCGAGGCCGCGGCACCCCAATAGGTGTAGAATCGGGCTGTGGTGACATACCATCGAGGCCGCGGCACCCCAATAGGTGTAGAATCGGGCTGTGGTGATATACCATCGAGGCCGCGGCACCCCAGTAGGCGTGGCATCGCGCTGTGGTGACATACCATCGAGGCCGCGGCTCCCCAGTAGGTGTGGAATCGCGCTGTGGTGACATACCATCGGGGCCGCGGCACTTCAATAGGCACAGAATCGGGCTGTGGTGACATACCGTCGAGGCCGCGGCACCCCAATAGGTGTAGAATCGGGCTGTGGTGACATATCATCGAGGCCGCGGCTCCCCAATAGGTGTAGAATCGGGCTGTGGTGACATACCATCGAGGCCGCGGCACCCCAATAGGCACAGAATCGGGCTATGGTGACATATCGTTGGGATTTTAGAAAATTCAAGCAGCTTTCACCGCGGCAAAAGAGCTTTAATGAACTCAGGATGAAAGCAAGCACGAACCCAAAAGTGATGAAAAGTTAGCAAAGCGGCTTTTTATTTTGACCCCAAGGATTCGTCATTGGTTGATCCTGAATCCGCCCCGCCTCTGCTCACCTATAGCCAGCGCCTCCAATCCCTCTCTCCGTGAGTAGTAGTCCACGAAGAGCACGTCTGGGTCTTCATCGTCCTCCGTACAGGCGAACGACGGCATGACGATGCCGGGGAACGCTGTCGTCATCAGGTAACTGGAAAACAGCACAGGTCGCTCTCATTGCTACCAATGGCGGGTTATTCGTAGGCGCCCATAGCTAAAGCGTTGAGCTCACCGTAAAAAGGACCGGGTCAATTGCCATGACGAGAAGCACTCTGTCACGGTTCAAGGATCAGATCACGCAGTACCAAAGGCTGCAACGCCTGCATGCGTCAGTATAGAGCCCGACAGCATCGTTGGCCCAGAATAAAACCGACAACAGTCAAACTTTCGAGCCGCACGATTTAAGCCAGGCCTTCATCTCGGCTGCCGGGTCCTTAGCTCAGAATGCTAACACCTTTTCCTATTCAACCACTCACGGCGCAGAGTTCCAGCTTTAGGCTTCCACGCCCAAACGCAGGCTAAGTTTTGTCAGTCTCAGCGGATCTGAATCCGACCGCCAAACACAAGTGGTTTGTTATGGAGTTCCATCTTTAGATTTATGCATAGGCACCACGAATAGTGATTTGGCTGTATAGAGCTCGCAGATGGCTTAGCAGGTTGTAGGGGATACGAGACGGACAAACCCTGAAGAGGCTCAAGTGAGCGTGAGATTCAAAATGCTCCGGCCTCCTTTCGTGTGCGATGACCTATGCCAACTGGATTTAAGCGAAGTGTTTTGTTTTCATGTCTACGCGTGGCTAAATCAGCAGTCTCTGGTCCCGTACTTGCTCAGCCAATTCATAACTCTTGTTCACATATTCACACATTTAGCAACAAAAGAGGGCAATGGGTCACCCAAGGTGAAGCAACGGACGATCCCTAGCCGGTCGACCGAGGGCAGCACACTGTCGCCCGGAGCGACTTTGGCTGCGTCCCCGCGCTCACTGCGTTCAGACATCAGTATTTTGACCGTCCTTATATGATAACGCTGACCGTTTTCATGTGAGTGCTTCACCAAACCCCAGAAATACGGAACCCGCCGAAGTCGTCTTTCACTTGCGCTGTGTCTCGAAGAGAATCATTAACATGCACCATGCATGGGAGTGCTCTGCTAACTCTGCCACGCCATGACATTGGCGTGGGACATTGACATGACATGGGACTGAGCATGTATATATATATATATATATATATATATATATATAAAGATATAGACAGATATAGATATAGATAGATAGATAGATAGATGGATATATATATATATATATATAAATATGCAAATATATATAAAGATATAGACAGATATAGATATACATAGATAGATAGATAGATGGATATATATATATATATATAAATATGCAAATATATATATATATATATATATATATATATATATATATATATATATGTATGTATGTATGTATGTATGTATGTATGTATGACAGGAGGGCGATGGTTGACGGTCCTCTCAGCTGGAAAATAAATGCATATTAGCCATGCGCTCTGCAAGGTCGTCATCGCGTCCTAAACCATGTTTGCTTACAGCCTTATTTCTGCATATTCCTTGGTCGCGATGTTTACAGCTCGCTCCTATTTAGTGAACAGCTCGTTATAACACGGCCTGTTGCACGTTATAATTAAAGCAAAGATCATGAACAGCGTTTAATCGAGTCAGGGTCAGAGTCAGAGCATCAAACCGAGCCAGAGCGCCGGCCCGAATCAGGATGCGCAGCTGGATAACAACGCATGGTTTCAAACTTGTCGATCCGACCCATAGGAGCCCGCCACCGGACCTGAACCCGAAGGACAGACTGAGCCAGAATCAGGATGCGCAGCTGGATAGCTACGGATGGTTTCAAACACGTCCGCCTGACCCATAGGAGCCTGCCACCGGTCCTGAACCCGAAGGCCATCTCACCAGTGCAGATAGTCGAGGTTGTCCAGGAAGGCGTGAAACGTCCTGCCCAGCGTGTGCAGCATCTCGCCGTACCCCTTCTCGATGGTGAAGTCAACAAAGTGCATGCCGACCCCCTCGAGGAAATACTCGAGACTGATTTCTGGAAGACCCAGGAGAATATGAATTGTTCTGAGCATCGCCATCTATGGAACGTGGCTCGCTTACAATCGTTCCGTGTTTGGCAGCCCAGTGCGCGATCCTGACATACAAATTGGTAAATAAAATTACGTATTGAAAGTAATGCCTGTGCACAACACACGCACTATGCATACACTTAAGTGCATTATTCATATGCCCTTGCATGCTACCGGAAAATCGACACGGGAAGCGCGCGCTCAGTCCTCAGAGATGGAGAATAGTAAGCACAATTGGTACGCCAGCATAATCACATGGGGAATAGTGAGCACAATTGGTACGCCAGCACACTCACAACATGCATCATTCAAAATCAAATAATAGAAGCATAATTATTTCAATGCGAGATGGTTTACCTATCGAAACGCTTGCCATGCTGCGCTCTCAACCAGACACGCGCTTAATATTAGACGCATACTTTTATATACATGGAAAGGTGGCACAATTCGCCAGTGAAACTCATCCTTTTTAGAAGCCTCTCACCCGGCGAGTTAATATTTTCTGTCTGCGCTCTTTGGGTGCATGGACATATATCAACACACATAGATATGCCTTCCGCAATGTGCTTTTGCGACTCTACTTGTAATCACCGAAACATTCAACCAAAGGAGCTGGCCCGCGCCGCGTACCGAGATGCTTGACGACGATGACGATGAAGTCCAGTGTCGCCTTGTCGGGATAGCACTGGAAGTTCAGGAACGTCTGTTCGTCGTCAGCGCCCGATATATCCCTGCCAGTTGGATAAACAGCTAACGTTACACCTGTAGCGCCCCTGTGGCAGGTCTCATGGGCGATCGCGGGTCGGGATCCGTGTGAGTATAACGCGGCGCGCGTGATGAAGCTGGTAGGTTCGTAACGAATGAGGAACCTTAGCAAGACTGAACCGCGTGATGTGTTGATCCTTGAATCGTAAATGAATGAATGAATGAATGAATGAATGCGTGAACGCAATTCAGAATGCGTGAATATCCCACGTTCACAGATTGCGTGCAAGCTATGAGGGCAAAATGCGTGATGAAATGTTATAACGCCGCGATAGGTGTAAAACTGATGGCGATTAGCACATTGTTACTACCTCAACGGCAACGAAATGCCACAACACAAGAGTGATACGCACAATCGCCAGACAAATAACTGCCATAATATTTGCCGTCTTCCCAAAGGCTTCCCACGCCTAGAATGCTTCGCAACTTCATCACTTACAATATATCCTTCCATTTGTCCTTTCCGTAGTTGTTGAGCACCCACTCCTTCACGCAGCTGTGGATAAGTCCGTACTGAAAGAGGACAGAGAACAAGAAGTGCAGATATTTATAAAAAATGATAGGTCAATTCAACTGCCGAATTTTGCAGTGTCGGGAGGGAGCCAACAACGCTCTGCTCTCACCTGCTCTCGTCCCCGTCCGTCCCCCCCCCCCCCCCCCCGTCCGCCCCAGAGGTTCGCGTCATCAGGGCAGGCGTAAACACGATTAACACATTCTAGTACACGGCATCTGGTCTCGGTAAATGTAACAACATTGGGGTGCAATCTGCCGAGGCCATTCATACAGACATGTTCAGATGAGAAAAACCACTGGACACTGAAATGACTGATGACGATTCGCATTGAATCGGACTGTAGAGAACAATTCCGTAAGATTAACAGTGGCACTGTGAAACAGTTTGCAATCACATCTGGTCGTTTTGTGGGCGTGACATTTCGTGTTCAAGGTATGACTTGTAAAAGAGCTTAACCAGTCTTGACCCTTCTTCTGTATCCCTGAAGCGAGAGCGAGAGAGAGAGAGAGAGAGAGAGAGAGAGAGGAGAGAGAGAGAGAGAGAGAGAGAGAGAGAGAGAGAGGAGATGAGAGATGAGAGAGAGAGAGAGGAGAGAGAGAGAGAGGAGAGAGAGAGAGAGAGAGAGAGAGAGAGAGAGAGAGAGAGAGAGAGAGAGAGAGAGAGAGAGAGCAGAGAGAGAGAGAGAGAGAGAGGAGAGAGAGAGAGAGAGAGAGAGAGAGAGAGAGAGAGAGAGAGAGAGAGAGAGAGAGAGAGAGAGAGAGAGAGAGAGAGGACAGGAACCAAGAGAGGAAGAGAGAGGAAATGAGCACGGAAAGAATGACCGTTGAAAGATAAGGAAAAAGGCAGGATCGGTGCAATAGTGCGAAAGTGGAGGGCGAGAGTGTGCTTGTGCCAAACAACTTTCGAGTTCCGAATTCAGAAAAACCGAGTCCATGCCAAAATTGCATGATACACAAAAATCCAAGCACACAGGAAGTCAAAACTAGAATGTTTACGTCCTTGAGAATCTCATCGTCTCTCTTCATGAGTTGCGTAGCGCGATGCCTATTTTGAAATCTAGTATCCAACCAAACTGATGTAATCGTTGCGTGCACCTACCTTAAATGCTGTGTTAGAGCACGTAAGCCTGCAACAGCGATTATGCTTACCATTCGGATGAAGGTCCCGAAGATCACGCCGAAATGCAGCTCTCCTGGGAACACATACTCAGATTCGGGTATCGCTCACGAAGATATATTTTAGATTATTGCTCTTATGTTCTCATATCTTGCTATTTACCATTCCTTCCCAGAAATGACGTTTTAGAGTGATTACAGCTTTCGTTTAGTTTAGGTTTCCAAACTTTACGACGAGATGCAAAAACACTTATATAAAATAACAATTCTTACAAAGTGACCCTCGTCAAAATCTCATCACTCTAAAATGCAGCACCTGAAAAACAGTGTGCACCTCACAATGTTTCCAGTGACCTTGACAACCTTGCGGGTTTGCTGCGTAGATAATTTGAGAACAATACTTTTGTGACCATCGATGATTGAAAGCAACCACGTAGACGCAAAATTCTTGTTTAACATCTTTATGCCGAGCAACAAGACATATTCCACAATGGCAAAACCATTAGCACATCGTCATAACAAGAATAATCGTTCTAACAATGCGTTCTGTGTGCTTTATTGTTCAATATTGTTTAATACATTTTCAGACTGGTTCGTACAGTTGTGTGCCAGGACGTACAGGTCAGTAAGTCTCCCCATGTTGGACTTTTCTGCTTTGCCTTCTCAACTCACTTTATTTCGTCCTGCAATTTCGCGGTGAACAAGGCTCTTTATCTTCGCTTTGATTTGCATCTACTTGATATCTTTTTCACTTTTCCTATCACGCAACTTTCATATCAATCTTTCTTTTGTTCTACTTATTTGACGTCTATGCATCTCCTTCCCTCCCAGCATCCATTCACGACCTTCCTTGTCTGTCTGTCTGTCTGTCTGTCTCTCTCTTTCTCACTCTCTCCCTTTCTTTTTTTTCTCTCTCTCTCTCACTCTCTCTCTCTTTCCTTCACTCCCTTTATCTGTTGCCATCTTCCTCTTGCCCTCTTTCCCGCTTTCTCTCTATCCTATCCTGCCTTTCTCCCCGTCCCTGCTTTCCTGCTCGCTCTCTACACCCCTCTCTCTGTGTTGCCCCCGACACCCCTTGCGACTAACCTGAGTCCGGATCCGGCTCCGGCTTCTGCTGCACACCGCCTCTCTCTTCCGAAGGTCAGCTCTCCCGAGCCGCCGGCCGCCGACTGCCCTCCACCGGCCGGCACAGGCTCCACATCAAGCTCAGCGTCGAAAGCGACGACCTGGCGTCGAAATCGACGACCCAGGATCGACGTGGCTCCGGCTATAATATACGGGGCGGTGGCAGCGCCGTCATCCGGTCGCGGCCAGCGACAGATCGACCGCATGCAACAGGATCGTAGCGGCACGCTGGGCTGTCATCGCTCCCTGCCGGTGAGTAGCGTAAGGCCAGTCACGAAGCCTGCGAATGGGCGGAGAAGGAAGGGCCTCGTCGTTCAGCGCATGCCCGCGTAATACGTGGCTGTCGGTGTCTGGCCGTCACACGAGACGCAGTCGGTGGAGACCGGGCCATTAGACCAGCCGTCGAATACAAAAGAGGTCGCGTAATCGAAGACACTGAAGACACTGAAAGCATGCACGGATAGGGCTAACAGCGGAGATTTTCCTCTTACCCTCGACGGTGGCAACGGGGCGCATTATTCGGCCCGCTCTTTAGATGCGTGTGATGCGTACCGTCGAACCCAAAACTGCTACACAGTGTTGCGGTTTTGCTTAAAAGAAGCTCTTGCGCTTCAAATGCACGATGCGAAGATGCTAATTTTTGCTATTACCCTTTACCAAAATCTAAACACGCTACCAAAAGAATCGATTTGCTGTCCACAATGTTTGTCTACTCACCCTATTCGATTGTGTATTGACTATCAACTAGTTATACCACCGTGTCACAACCTTACTTTTACTCAGCTTAGCCTCCAGTCATCTACTAGACTCGACACTGGTTGCCTTAGAGGCAGTTCTACTCTATTTCTCCGCTTTGCTGTCGAAAGCCGTCCACCGAAAATTTGTTCCACGCACCAGCTCTGTGACCGAACACAAACCACGCTGAACCGCATCCAGACATCCGCCGGTGCTGCTTCGTCGCCAGCACTAGGGACCCGACCTTCCCCGCCGCCATGTCCAAGCACACCTACCTCTCCTCGGCCTCTGCGTCGGTGACCCGCCGGGGATCATTGGCCGGCTCGGCTAGATCAATGTCAAGTGAGGCCAGAGGCACGCGTCACATATCTGCACAGCTCACATCTTCACACATGCACGTGCCTCGTCGCGCTCAGCTTTTGCTCAAGGGCACTCGTCCCGACGTAGGCGGCTGATCGGACTAGGGTACCGTTTCCTGCGGACCATAGAACGTCTCCGGTCGAACATAAGCCTGTCGGTGGGATCTGTCGTTCTGATACATCGTCTAACTGCATTCATTCTGTACGCGATATCAAAAACATTAAACATGTCCTCCATCGCGTAGCTTGGTCAAGGTACAGCTGGACTTTTGGCTATCCGGTCACAAATGCACGGCTAGTGTTCTCATTTGAAAATTCATTCTATCGTATCTTAGTCCCTCCGTGTTGCCGTTATGCATTATTATTTTACTGTCGCCCAGCTGACACCATTGTCCATTCCCGCAAGGATGCACTGTTTCGTCCGTGCTACCATGAATGGTTCTGTGTATCAGGCTGATCCAGGGCTTGGACCTGCCTCATCAGGGTTCATGTCTGGCTCACCGACGGCCTGCTTTAACCTGAAGGTCTTCCTCATCGGGTCGCTGGGGGCATGACAGCAGGAGTTCCTCTGCTTTCCAGTCGTGAAGCTCCAGGAGCCAGAGTTGGTGCTGAAAGGAGCCATCAAGCCTCTGAAGGCGCTCATGCCTGCCAGGTGAGCGCGCTGCTGATGCTCCAGCAGCGCAGGTCAGACGCTATCACTTATCGGTGGCACCACGTCAAGACCGCACTTCGCCTCTCTTCAGCCATAATTTCACAAACCTTCACTCTACGGGCTGTCGAGACATTTTGAAATGTTTTGAGAAGGTCTTGTAAACATAAGTGTGATACATGTATTTCATCAGGAGAACTTTGCCCTACTGAGCAATAGTATTCGAAGTAAATCCGGTGTGAAACCAACGTGACATAAATATGAATGACTCATTTCTCAGAGCACTGCAAACGCTTCGAGATAACGCACATAACACACCTTCGAGAAACGGCTAATGACGTCCGCCCAACGCATTAATCTACAACATTTAGCATCAGCCCATTTGTTCCACCCGGTGCAGCACATGTGGACAACATAGTTTCGGAAGTCACCCGCGAGGCTCCTTCGGCAGCTGAACGTGGGCGTACAAAACAGCTCCGTGCGATTGCTTTCATCCACAAATCGTCTTTGAGTGCTTGAGCGTCTCCATTCATGACTGTATTTGGCGTGTCATAGTCGCAGGTGTGCATTCCGAGAAGCCTGAGCCTTGATCCGAAATTAAGGCGGTGGGTGGTCAGATTTGCCCGTCTGTACGATTTACAGGCACGCCACCGGCTGCTACTCTGCCCGATTTTCTCCAAAGGGAGACGTTCTCGCAGGAGGATTTGGCAACGGGGCCGTCCTGGTAAGTGTGCGCAGCTATAGGCTTAGGTTTACATCGCAGTAGGATGTTTCAGCAGCTGTCACCACGAAACAACGACGAGCTTAAGTAATTTAGCATGTTATTCCAGAAAAAGAAAATGACGATGTTTTGACGTGCGATTTACGATGCATGTTACGATATCGATGCCATGGACAATTCTGTCAATGGACTATATTTAGGCCCTGCCAGGCTCCCGGTGGCTGAGTTTTGAGTTGCATAGGTTATGGCCCGTGATGCGGTATGTACTTTATGACGCATTCATACACTGCAAACCCGGTGTTTCTTGCGCTTTGCGTATGGTCGTAAATGGACGGAGCATAAATGTCATTGCAAAGACACATAACAATTGCGCTAGGAGACTGCATGTATCGGAACATATTGCAATTGTCAATACCTGCTTGAAATCGTCAACCCGATTAAGAATATTGCAGATCTTGTTGCCACTGAAACCTTGTGCACCGTTATATCGGAACCACGCGCCATTCTGCTGGTACTGATCGCATGTGCCTCAGCTGTATGAGAAGGACGACGAGGGCCTGTACACGAGGCAGAGCACGTTGCGCAAAGGCTCGCGCTACGCGGATGACACGGTCATGGCTGTACGCTTCCATCCCAAGGAGACGCAGGTGCGCAGTGGGGAGGGCACTTCCATCCCAAGGAAAAGCATGTGCCTGGCGGGAAGGGCACTTCCATCCCAGAGAGACGCAGGTGCGCAGCGGGGAGGGCACTTCCATCCCAAGGAAACGCATGTGCCTAGCGGAAAGGGCACTTCCATCCCAAGGAGACGCAGATGCCCAGCGGGGAGGACACTCCCATCCCAAGGAGACGCAGATGCCCAGCAGGGAGGGTACTTTCATCCCAAGGAAACGCATGTGCCCAGCGGGGGAGGGGGGGGGGGGGCACTTCCATCCTAAGGAGACGCAGATGCGCAACGGAGAGGGCACTTCCATCCCAAGGAAACGCATGTGCCCAGCGGGGAGGGTACTTCCATCCCAGGGAAACGTGTGTGCCCAGCGGGGAGGGCACTTCCACCCCAAAGAAATGCATGTGCCCAGCGGGGAGGGCACTTCCATCCTAAGGAGACGCAGATGCCCAGCGGGGAGGGCACTTGCATCCCAAGCAGACGCAGGTGCCCAGCGGGAAGGCACGAAATCACCGTCCATTGCCACGAGGCGATAATCCGAGGATTCGGTCGGAGCTAGATCCGGCTGGGTGAAGCAATCTATTGGGGTGGGTTCATGCTCTGGATTAAATCTGTACAATTTACAGTGGCCTGTATCCTGTGTCCCGCTTACATTCTGTTATGCTTGCAAGTTCATCAGAGATTCTCTGCGGCTGGGCCTCGTAGCTTTAGGCCAGCTCTTCTCTTTGGGTGCTCAGCAAATGTTGGCCATCGTTGAAGCCAGGTGGAAAGTTTGAAACTGGCGTAGGATAAGCGCCACGTCTAAGTTAGTGCTGGCTGGGGTGTAGGGGCTATATTCACCTGCATGCGAGAACATGATGACTCGCTGGGGTGATGGTAATCCGGCCCAGTCCACGGCTTGGCCCATGCCCTTTGCGTGCCCGCAGTACCTCTACTCGTGCGCGGTGGTTGGCACGGTATTCAAGCATAATCTGGCAGGTGGCGCGGACGAGAAGTGCACCAAGTTCTGTGACGGTAAGACCAAGTCTACTTACCGCTGCATAGAGCTGGAGATCAGAAATTTTGCCGCAGGGAGAGATCCAAGCCAGAGGGTCCGATGAAAACCATCGGCTTTTCAGTTTTTGTTTCACAGCAGCGGTCGTTCCGCATATTTCTGATTGGCTCAGTGGAATTTCAGTGGAAGACATTCCTCGACGACGCCCTCAGATCGTTTAGACTGAGATCTCCCTTAAAATTTCAGACCCCACATCAACATTAAATGACTGTTCTCATTGCAGCCGCGCCGATGCCTTACCCTGTTGCGCACGTTGTCTCAACTGAATGGGCGTACGTACACTTCAGGCTAATGAACGCGGCCTCTTTGGTGATCCACTTGGGAGCCTACTTGCCGCACACCAAACAAGTGCCGTCATTTGCCTTGATAACCGCGTCCCATCGCTGGCGTACATGCAACACAATCAGCCCAGTATTCGTCAACACCAGACTGGCTGGCTGTAATTGCTGTCACTCTGCATGAGCTTATTGGTTGAATTCACTTGGCTTATCAGCTTTCTCTTAATGTTCTTCCATGGGTAGCATTTTAAAAAAGCGTGCCTGATGCAGAGAACAACAACCGGATCAACGCCATTGACTTAAACATGACCGGTGAATTTCTGGCCTCCGGAGGAAAGGACCTCAATATTCGTATATACGACACCAAAACACAGGAGGTGAGCGGGAGGCAACCTGAGCCAGCGGGTCGCGAACATTAGTGACTCCTAAATGATACACATTTGATCATTCGAGCTGCATGCGATGTGTTGTGGGCCCAAGTTACACTTTGGGCCGCTTATCCATTACGTTATGCAATCCCCCTCTCCCTGCCGTTACGCAATTGTTAAGCTGGGCGAAACCCCCTCGCCATGGCCACGTTGTGTTAAGTGTTAAGTCCCAAAAAGGTAGCGTCCGTTTGGCTCCCGAATGAGCCAGAGCAGCGAAACAGGGACGGCCGTGTCGCTTACCATCAGAGGAAGCCAGCGTTTTAAGGCTGCTAAAGGTTGAAAAGCTTAGTATGATTCACATTAACGCCCGAGCTTAATGTTATGCTGTCCAGCCCCCCCCCCCCCTCATCCCCCTGGTTACGCTCCAATCGCGCTCCATCATACCCCCTTCTCGCTCCAAGCGCAACGTAACATATGGACGGTCCCTTGGTGCAGATGTACTACATGGTCTGCAATGGGTGATGTACTCACTGCGCATCACACGTTTCACTGCTCTAGCTTAAGCAGGAGTACACTGGCTTCCACATGCACAGCGTCGACAAGGACTCAGGAGGGCACGCGCTCAGCGTGTACTGCATCAAGTTCCACCCGGACCAGCGGGAGGTCCTCCTCACTGGCGGCTGGGACGACACCATCAAGGTGCAGCTACGGCGGCGGCGGGAGCCCCGCCGTGCGCTCAGGCACTGGTTCTAGAACATCACTGTATAGGATCTTCAAGGATGGCACATGATGCAAAATAACTGTTTGTCCATTAAATTGCAAGTGCTCCATCGGGGTTCACTACATTTGGCGGTGCAGCAACGAAAAAGTACAATTTAATCAGCATTAAGAATGATATTAGCATGCATATGGCAGAGACTTACCGTGGTGGGATACTTTACCATCGGCAAGCATAAAGATGACACTTCCAGAGCATTCTGTAAAACGGTTAGTAACCAGATGTCTTGACCTAGTAGCGCAGTGCGCCCGCGTGAGATGCACATGCGCTGTCGTCAGATATGGGACATGAGGACGGAGCCGGGGCTGGTCGGCTCGCTGGGAGGGCCTCACATCTGCGGCGAGGCCATCGACATCAGGGTGAGACGCGGCCGCGGGGTTAACCCCGTCACACTGGGGACAAAGACCCGCCTTCCGGGCCGGGCGCCCGCCACACTGGGTGCAGAGACTCGCCCTCCGGCCCGGGCGCCCGCCACACTAGGTGCAGAGACCCGCCCTCCGGCCCGGGCGCCCGCCACACTAGGTGCAGAGACCCGCCCTCCGGCCTGGGCGCCCGCCACACTGGGTGCAGAGACCCGCCCTCCGGCCCGGGCGCCCGCCACACTAGGTGCAGAGACCCGCCCTCCGGCCCGGGTAACACGCTGAGCTGGAACATCCGCTGGAGTGGCTGAGCAAGCGTCTGGTAGGCTCGAGAGGAGTCCGAGAGCTCCGAGACGCTTACACAGTCGATATGTATTGCTGGCTGACAGCTAAAAGTGGTCGTATGTAGCAGCAGGGCATGATGAGTCGTGCACGTCAAGCAACAATGAGGCGAAGCCATCGCTACTCAGTATACAATTGACCAGCACAGCCTTGTGGATGGCGTCTTGTGCTCGCCAGGATTAGGTGATGACCGTAGAGCGAAGTACACAGCATACAACGCATAGGGAATCTGAGGGAATTTTCAAGAATTTCGAGTTCAAAAATTTCAAGTCTATGTGTGAAACGTAGATGTAGGACCACAACCGTCTAACATTGAGAGTAACTACGGCCGGACACTTGGTCTCTCTTTGAGCACTATCTAGGGGCGCTGCTGGCACGGCTATGTGGTAAAACACTGCAAAACTGCCGGCGAGAAAGGTCATTTCAATTTTTATATAATTATTTTTATATGCCGTTACCCAACAACAGGTAACCAGGAGTCAATGTCATTTATGATGTACATCCAGTCCACAAGTTGCTAGACGCAGTTATCTGACTAAAGTTATATGCCCGCGAAAATCTGCACCAGATATTTGATGACTCGCAATGGCGTGTCCTCCTCGCATGTGGCGCCGCCCTGGCGGCGACTGACGGGGGATGCGCGGCAGGGAGAGACGGTGGTGAGCGGTTCGTGGCAGGCGGAGCAAGCCATCCAACTGTGGGACCTACGCGAACGGCGACCCATCAAGTCTCTCGGCACCTCACACGACACCAAGCTGCAGGGGGATAACCTGTACTCGGTCCAGGTAACGACAGCTGCAGGGGGGTAACCTGTACTCGGTCCAGGTAACGGCAGCTGCAGGGGGATAACCCGTACTCGGTCCAGGTAACGGCAGCTGCAGGGGGATAACCTGTACTCGGTCCAGGTAACGGCAGCTGCGAGGGGGATAATCTGTACTCGGTCCAGGTAACGACAACTGCAGGGGGATAACCTGTGCTCGGTCCAGGTAACGGCAGCTGCGAGGGGGATAACCTGTACTCGGTCCAGGTAACAGCAGCTGCGAGGGGATAACCTGTACTCGGTTCAGGTGACGGCAGCTGCAGGGGGATAACCTGTGCTCGGTCCAAGAGCAGCAGCTGCCCGCGAATAGCCTGTCCTCGGTCCAGGTAACAGCAGCTGCCCGCGGATAACCTGCACTGGGTCCAGGTGACAGCAGCTGCCTGGGGATAACCTGTACTCGGTCCAGGTGACGGCAGCTGCAGGGGAATAACCTGTGCTCGGTCCAAGAGCAGCAGCTGCCCGGGGATAACTTGTCCTCGGTCGAGGTTACAGCAGATGCCGGCTACTGTCTGTCCCAGGCAGTGACAACAGCAAGGCCAGCCGGGCGAAGTCCAGATGGCAATAGCCGCAGATGGCAGTCCCGGCCTACCGCGAGAGCGCTACGTGTCCCTTTTATTTTCATGCGATTTGTTTTACTTGCTACCATGTTTCCATAAAATTTTAAGGTTAAATCCAACATTTTGGAGAGAATATATACTATGAATCATAGCCCGCGATAGGCAGTGCTTATTATGGAAAGCCTTGACACTATAATCCGATCATGAAATTGCAGATCAGCGGCAGAGTTACGTAAAACCTTTCCCTAAGACCTCATGAGTATGTGAGAACGTTGTAAAGCCTCAATCACACGCGCACACTCGCTTCTGAAATGAACCCGGGTTGCCGGCCAGGAGCCGGATATCAACCACTTACCCCTACGGAGAGACAGACGTCACGTGACACTACCCACAACAGAGCGAGCCGATGGCGCCACACCCAGCCGGCTTCAGCTTCTCATCGATGGCCATGATCAAGTGGTGTTTGTCATGCTCGAGGAGGCCGCGAGGAGTGCGGCCAAAGACTGATGGCTCGGTCCAGAGCGAAGCAGAACGCTGTACGCGTGACCGATTCCTCGACACCGCGCATGCCGCTGGTCCACTCACAGACTGTGTTCATGAACCACGGACGACATAGGTCCCGGATAGCTGCATGCATAGGTGGGCAATGTTCATCCAGTCCACCCTGACGGACCTGGCGAGGAGAGCACGTCACAGAAATATACTTGTCTCACCCTCCCAGCTCGTCAAAAATGTGATAGCCTAAGATGGCATCGGTGCAGCTGCCGTCCCACTGCTGCGAGGCCGTAGTGCCCACCTCGGTGCCGCGCGCGCTCCTCGGCGCCGCCGCGGCTGCCACAGCTGACGCCGTTGCCATGCCGGCAGTTCGCCCGCACCGATCCGGACGGCAACCACGTGATCGCGGCTGGTTCGGGCACCAACAGCTTCCAGTACATCAACCACCGCACCGAGAAGGTACGGCGCCGCGCGGCGCCAGTGATCCCGTACAGCCAGAGCGTGGGAATCGGTCATGATCCTGCATCCGTGTGGCGGATACCAGATCACGTGTGACACTTGACGGTGGGTCTTGACCTGGGTTCCGATATTTGTTTGTTGGATCCAGGCACATGGCTGAGAATGGGAGAGACAAGGTGAGGTGCAAGGATCCATGCGGTGTTAGCGTGCTGTCTGCGACGCTGTACCGAGCGTCGCGGAATCCGCACTGAAGTTTGGTAAGCCGTGCAGGGCGAACACGTGTAGGATCATTTTGGGAAGGGGATTGTGGTACTGGGAAGGCCATAGACTATGGACATCAGCACAAGAACAGCACGCGGCGGATCTTGCGGGCTATTTCAAGCATCGAAACAGCAACATTGGAGTGAGGTCCTACAGCGTCGGGTACACAAGTGACCTCTGCCAGCGGCATCATCCTTGGGGATGACGTCACTGACATGCCTGCGTTTGATGCAGACACCACAGAAAACCGCATGAAGAGTCTGCTGTGCACCACACTGCATCGCGCTTCTCACACACAGCATCGCGGCCGATCTGCGTCTAATGACGTCATAACCCTGACCTATGACGTCACCTGTCCGCAGGTGCTCGGCACTGGCACCACGGAGAAGCCGTTCCACACCGTAGACAGCTACGGCCGGACCCTGGTGGCGGCCGGCGGCGACGGCTGGATACGCTTGCTGCACGTGCCACGGCACCAGCACACCTAAAGCTGCAGACTTTGACACAAATGAGGCTGTATCTGCCACGACACGAGCGTATCCGAGGCCGCACGTGTCATGACACCCACACACCTGATACGTATGTGCCACAAGACCAACATGCCTGATGCCCCGTGCCACGAGACCAACACGCCTGGTGCCCCTTACCCAGAGACCAACACGCCTGGTGCCCTGTGCCACAAGACCAACATGCCTGATGCCCCGTACCCAGAGACCAACACGCCTGGCGCCCCGTGCTACAAGACCAGCACGCCTGGTACCCCGTGCTACAAGACCAGCACGCCTGGTGCCCTGTGCCACCGCACCGACACACACCTCGCGTCAGAGATGGAGGTGGAGCAGCGGCGCCGGGTTCGAATCACTCACCATCACATCACCGTGGCCGCCTCCGCGGTTTCTCCTGGTGCCTGTTGGTCAGATGTCAGGCCGGCCGTGCGGACAGGGGACGAATTGGACGCCTGCACCCAATGCCGGCTTGGTGCCTGCTCACGCGTGATATGCTTGGTTGCTAGTTTGCCGAGTTACTTGTGTCGCTATGTTACTTGTTTGTGGGCGAGGAGGAGCATCACACAGCGTGGGAAGACCTGGAACCTTAGTTTTTGTCAAACGGCTTGTTGTCCATCTAAAAGGCCTGCGGGTGCAGTGGACATTGTGTTTACCACTTCCATTATTGCTTTTGTCAGGTACAAAACGTGTGATAAAAACGTCTATCTACCTTCGTTGTGCGTTGCGGCAGAGCAATCCAACGGCATCCAAGAACATTGATTATTTCAAGGCAATTGTCGTCCCAGTGGTCGAATGGCTTGAGCGCTACAACACGACTTCCCCAGCACTTATAGGAAAACCTTCGTCGAGGATGCTCCTGTCGATCTTGATGGAGTCCACAGCGGTGTGCTGAAGATCCCCTCGCACCACTACTGCTATGGACAATGAGGCGAAATAACCCTCGGGAAATCGGGAAAGGGTCTTTTTCCCCGATCGGGGATAACACTGCGCTAAACAGGTCGCGTTGAACACCTGATCACTCCGTCCCGATCCTAGTCCCAACGCAGCCCATTTCCCACACACGGGACACATTTCTAGAGGCAGAGATTATGCTCGAACTAGAGGAAGTATCAGACTTCACACAAAAGCTTCTGAAACCTTTGCCGCTTGCCTACCCTGGTGCCTCCCTAACAGTTCTCTCTACATACTGAAGGTGGCTGCTATGGTGCCTCCCTAACAGTTCTCTCTACATACTGAAGGTGGCTGCTATCGTGCCTCCCTAACAGTTCTCCCTACATACTGAAGGTGGCTGCCATGGTGTCGCCCTCTGTTGCGGTCGGTGACCACCGCCCGGTCCCAGCTGACGGCGGCCCCGCCCATCCAGGAACGATGTTTTATGCTCGACGTGGGCGGGACCGCCGCCCAGAGGCACCTCACGCAGATCGTCACGCTCCGCCCACGTGCGCCACAGCTGTCACCCGTCAGCGGTCGGACACGAAGCCGGCAAATCATGACGTCCACCCCGCGCACGTCCGCACAGGCCGGTCGGCATTGATTTTCTGTAGGCGCTGGATGAACGGCGTCGGAACAGGGCTGCATGCTGACATGTGTAATTGGTATCGTGAGGCTCCCACCCGCGTGTTAGCAGGTCGATCGGCCGATTGGACTGAGCTGAGTGACATGCTTAGCCTCCGCCCGCGAATGCAGATGTCATAAGCCCGGCACTTGAGACGTCTGCGCTGTTGGCTACCGGCAGCATACTACGTCAGGGACCCCAGAGCGACATTGCAGTGGACAGCCCACAGCGCTACCGGGATTGACTTCCCATAGCGTCACCTAGATCGACATAGAGTTACCGGAATGGGCATAGCATTATCGGGATGAATATAGCGTTACCGCAATGGACATAACGTCATTAGGATGGACATAGCATCATCGGGATGGACGTAGCATTACTGGATAGGTATAGCGCTACTGGGATAGATATAGCGTTGCCGGGATGGATATGGCGTTACCCGGATGGACATAACGTTATTGGGATGAACATAGCGTTACCGGGATGGTCATAGAGTCATCGGGATGGACTCCCCATGGCGTTGCCGAGGTGGTCTCCCCAAGGCGTCACCGCGATGGACTCCCCAAGGCGTTATCGGGATGGACTCCCCAAGGCGTTACCGCGATGGACTCCCCAAGGCGTTGCCGGGGTGGACTCCCCAAAGCGGTACCGCGATGGCCTCCCCAAGACGTTACCGGGTTGGACTCCCCATGGCGTTGCCGGGATGGACTCCCCTCGGTGTTTCCGGGGTGGACTCCCCTCGGTGTTTCCGGGATGGACTCCCCTCGGTGTTTCCGGGATGGACTCCCCTCGGTGTTTCCGGGATGTACTCCCCTCGGTGTTTCCGGGATGGACTCTCCAAGGCGTTACCGGAGTGGACTCCCCAAGGCGTTACCACGATGGACTCTCCAAGGCGCTACCGGGGTGGACTCCCCAAGGCGTTACCGCGATGGGCTCCCCACGGCGTCACCGGGATGGACTCCCCAAGGCGTTACCGCGATGTTCTCCCCAAGGCGTTACCGGGGTGGACTCCCCCCCAAGGCGTTACCGAGGTGGGCTCCCCATGGCGCTAACGGGATGGCCATGGGTGTAACCTGTCAGGGAGGGATGGGGGGGGGGGGATATCTGGAACGGTATGTACCGAAATTCTGACAAGGGGCTCTTGTCCTCAATGATAGTTGTAAACTAAACACTTTCCGCATCTGTCTGGTTGCAAACGTTTATTTGCCGGTTAACTAAACGCGTCCTAGCATCTTAGTACTTACATATTTGTCTTAGGGTCAGACCGTTCCCTTCAGACACGGAATGTCCTCGTCCCAGCACTGGTGACTTGAGTGCAAACGAAGGGAGCGGACCAGACTGGACAAAGCGTGCCAAGCTAGACAAAGCGGACCAGACTGGACAAAGCAATCCCGTGGACGCTGCGGTAAACTCGCCGAAAACGCCAGTGGAGAACACTGCATATTCGTAAAGCACTCAAGGTGTCAAATTACACCCACGGCTAGAGCCTGTTGACTCTTGTTTACGTGCAGTGACGTCGTATTGTGCTGTGACTGTTAACACTGGCTTGCAAACGCACATCCAGTGGCCAGCATGATTCGTCTGACGTTGCCAAATGTAATTTCAGGTAGTCATTTTCAGTTAAATCAAAGATCAGCTGCGGACTCGACGCAGGTCTGCTGGTTTATTAAGAAAAGGAAAAGAGAACAAAATCGATAGAAAACGATGACGACATGGATTCGGTACAACAACCACCTGAACGGGAGCTCCCCGCAACAAAGCAGGACTCCTATAAGACAATACAGGAGTTAGGTGGTAATGTGCACGTGACGCAGAATGGCACATGAATGCGGCAGACACAGCACAGCGAGCTCGAAACGAAACATCAAATCACGGCCATGACATCCCGAGCAATACTGTGAAACAGAAAACTGGCAACCGTTCAACGCAACACGAGATGAGCGAACCGAACTGAACAACCACTGAAAGTCCATGGCGCGCACAGCATGCATGTAATGACGCATGCCTCTACGAATGGAAGCGTTTGTACAGTAAAATTCAGTGCACCACATTGATGTGTGAGAAGCCCTCCACTAGTCGTCCTTGCCTTCGACGCACGCCGCTCAGCACACTTTGATGATATTAACTGAGCATTCGAACGTTTGACTACTGCCGGATGTTTCACGCTGAAAACGTCATCGCAGACGGCCAACCGTGCGATCAGCCCGCAACGTCACACTAAACAGGCATCGTACTTGAAAATCGCTCGGGTACTGGAACGCCAGATTTTGTCTGCAGGCATTGTGAGGACCTCGGATGGCCGCTGACGGTGTTCGAAGTCAGCTGATGCGGCTCGCGTCAGCATGTTTACTTCTTGCTGGGGTGCCCGTGGCGAGACCAGTACTTAGCCGCTGATATTGCTGGAAAAGACCACCCCGGTTAGCGACAGGGCCAGACGGAGGCGTTGCCATGGTTAAAAGCATCGCAAACTTGCTACTGAGCAGTGACGCCGCCGATGGGGGAGGGAGCTCCACGGAGCTTTGCCCCTCCCCCGCATCAGGTTCGAGCACAGTTTTTCATCACGACACTTCTAAAGATAATTCCGGGATTTGGCGATCACCAACACTATTTTGGTCTTAAATCGCACAGACACTGCCGCGGGCAGAGACATACAGAGCCTAACATCCGTAATTCGGTACCAAGGCTTGTATAGGCAAGGTATATAGTCTTGTGAACATGCGCGGCGTGCAGCTGAAACAAATATTGAGACAGCAGGGACAACCAGCATCGATAGCTCATTGATACGCTAGGTACTGTACCTATCAGCGTTTGTGGAGCCTGTTAGTCTGTTCGCAGTGTGAAGGCTCTGTCAGTGGGGTCGGGACTCCCTCGGTAAAGGTTAGCCCCATCGGAAATTACGGTGGCACGCCCCTTAAATCTTGTCCCAAATTCTGGCTCCGCCACTGTTTCTGAGGAATAATTTGAACGTCAAGGTGCTAGAAGCACGCGCACAAGGCAGACGCCTTCATAAGCGGAGAGGTCGTATCATGAGGCGTGTCATGACTGCCGTCACCGCGCGACAGACGGCCACAGCTGGAGGCGTGTCATGACTGCCGTCACCGCGCGGCGGGCGGCCGCAGCTGGAGGCGTGTCATGACTGCCGTCACCGCGCGACAGACGGCCACAGCTGGAGGCGTGTCATGACTGCCGTCACCGCGCGACAGACGGCCGCAGCTGGAGGCGTGTCATGACTGCCGTCACCGCGCGACGGGCGGCCGCAGCTGGAGGCGTGTCATGACTGCCGTCACCGCGCGGCGGGCGGCCGCAGCTGGAGGCGTGTCATGACTGCCGTCACCCGCGCGACAGACGGCCGCAGCTGGAGGCGTGTCATGACTGCCGTCACCGCGCGGCGGGCGGCCGCAGCTGGAGGCGTGTCATGACTGCCGTCACCGCGCGGCGGGCGGCCGCAGCTGGAGGCGTGTCATGACTGCCGTCACCGCGCGACAGACGGCCGCAGCTGGAGGCGTGTCATGACTGCCGTCACCGCGCGGCGGGCGGCCGCAGCTGGAGGCGTGTCATGACTGCCGTCACCGCGCGGCGGGCGGCCGCAGCTGGAGGCGTGTCATGACTGCCGTCACCGCGCGACGGGCGGCTGCAGCTGGAGGCGCGGCCGCAGCTGGAGGCGTGTCATGACTGCCGTCACCGCGCGACGGGCCGCCGTATTTGGAGGCGTGTCATGACCGTGTCGGCACCTCGGACGCGCCCAGAATATCCGCACTGCTCTATGGGCACACCAATCAGCGGCGCGGGCCGTCGCAAACGGCTCATCGCCATGCACCAGCACAGCAATCTCCAACGCTCACATGATCTATACGCATTCCTCGAGCGCCGCCTCCCCCCCACGCGGATGCGCCGATGGGCGCGCCCATCCTCGCCGGCCAGCATGCACCCGTCTCGCCGCCGCGCCCCGCCGGGAGACAATCCATTGGCCGCACCCATCTGAAATTCGGCGTCGCCACCGCGGGCAGCGAGGTGGCCGGCAATTTCAATATGTTATTATGGGTTCGCGTATTCGGACATCATTGGTGACGTGTTCCTGTCAAAACTCCGCCGTCTTCATTTCTGACTAATATGCATTTCTTGGCCATTTACCACCGTAGGTAGTCATTTAGCTGTTCTGGGCGCAAAATGACCACAGTAGTCGGCGCGCCCTAAAACCCCATTCAACAACAACACCGAGTACTGAGAACTAAGAACACCGCGCCGATGCCAACACCGACGGGGACACCGAGGGCGACACCGAGGACGCTGGCCGATGGCATGTCCATCGCAAAGCGACACGCCATCAAGTGTAGACACGGCCGAACAGACGCCAGCTCAGCCGGACAGACGCCAGCTCAGTCGTGCAGACGCCAGCTCAGCTGGACAGACGCCAGCTCAGCTGAACAGACGCCAGCTCAGCTGGACAGACGCCAGCTCAGCCGGACAGACGCCAGCTCAGCCGGACAGACGCCAGCTCAGCTGGACAGACGCCAGCTCAGCCGGACAGACGCCGGCTCAGTCGTGCAGAAGCCAGCTCAGCCGGACAGACGCCAGCTCAGTCGTGCAGACGCCAGCTCAGCTGGACAGACGCCAGCTCAGTCGGGCAGACGCCAGCTCAGCTGAACAGACGGCAGCTCATCCGGACAGACGCCAGCTCAGCCGGACAGACGCCAGCTCAGCCGGACAGACGCCAGCTCAGTCGTGCAGACGCCAGCTCAGCCGGACAGACGCCAGCTCAGCCGGACAGACGCCAGCTCAGCTGGACAGACGCCAGCTCAGCCGGACAGACGCCAGCTCAGCCGGACAGACGCCAGCCTCAGCTGGACAGGCGCCAGCTCAGCTGGACAGACCCGCTAGCCGGAAGACGCCAGCTCAGCCGGACAGACGCCAGCTCAGCTGGACAGACGCCAGCTCAGCCGGACAGACGCCAGCTCAGTCGTGCAGACGCCAGCTCAGCCGGACAGACGCCAGCTCAGTCGTGCAGACGCCAGCTAGCTGGACAGACGCCAGCTCAGTCGGGCATACGCCCAGCTCAGCTGAACAGACCTGCAAGCTCAGCCGGACAGACGCCAGCTCAGCCGACAGACGCCAGCTCAGTCGTGCAGATCGCCAGCTCAGCCGGACAGAACGCCCAGCTCAGTCGTGCAAACGCCCCAGCTCAATCGGGACAGACGCCAGCTCAGCCGGACAGACGCCAGCTCAGCCGGACAGAACGCCAGCTCAGCTGGTACAGACGCCAGCTCAGCGGGACAGACGCAGCTCAGCCGGACAGACGCCAGCGCATCCGGACAGACCGCCAGCCAGCCGGAACAGACGCCAGCTCAGCTGGACAGACGCCAGCTCAGCCTGGACAGAGCCAGCTCAGCTGGACAGACGCCATCAGGGACAGGACGCAGCTCAGCCGGACAGACGCCAGCTCAGCCGGACAGACGCCAGCTCAGCCGGACAGACGCCAGCTCAGCCGGACAGACGCCAGCTCAGCTGGACAGACGCCAGCTCAGCCGGACAGACGCCAGCTCACGGGTGCACCACGACCACGGCCAGACTATAAGCCGGCTACCATGCTGGTGCGCTCTGACGTCTGTAGTGAGCAGCTGGGGACCTGACGCTAACAGCGCAGCCGCGAGGGCTTCGACAGAAGCATGCAACAGGGGCACCACCGTTAGGGTGCCTCTGACGGCCACCCTGTGTGGGAGGACGCCACCGTTAGGGCACCTCTGACGGCCACCCTGTGTCGGAGGACGCCACCGTCGGCCCAGCAGCGCAGCGAGACAGCGGTAAGCTACGACTTCGCTGCGTAGTCCCGGGCCGAGTCCCGCAGTCCCAGCGCAGGCTCGGGCGCAGCGAAGCGGGGCAACAGCACGGTCAACGGTTCGCAACGGCCATCACGTGTGTCTGACGCAAGCGCCGAATGCATGCCCCAACTGCAGGCCTCGGCTGCCGCATGCTCCCATTGCATGCCTCGGCTGCCGCATGCCCCGACTGCAGGCCTCGGCTGCCGCATGCCCCGACTGCAGGCCTCGGCTGCCGCATGCTCCCACCGCACGCCTCGGCTGCTGCATGCCCCGACTGCAGGCCTAGGCTGCCGCATGCCCCGACTGCAGGCCTCGACTGCACGTCTACGGGACGGCGCGCCCCAGTGTTGGCCCAGACGCGGCGGCTCCCTAGCCTGTGGACTTGGTGGGCCGGGACTGGAGGAGGCAGTGTGAAAGCCCACAGTTGTGGTGGGGTGGGACCGGGGGAGGCAGTGTGAAAGCCCGCAGTTTTGGTGGGGTGGGACCGGGGGAGGCGGGGCGAAAGCCCACAGCTTTGGTGGAATGCGACCTCACCCTCGGTGCCCGTCTCCATGCCCGTCCCGTTGGTCTTACACGGCGCCTCATATAAAATAATGTCGTCGGTCATAGGTGAACACTTGGTACGCCCCAGTGAGTGTGTCCTGGGGACATGAGGCCTGAGCATAAAACTGCCACACATCTATCTGCAAGGACACTCGAACAGTACCTTGTCTCGGATTCGACCAGGCCGAAATGAGACTGTTTCGCGACAGATCGCTGTACGCCGCACGTAAAGGTAGTTGGGTGACTGTACTTTGCCTGAAGCGATAAATTATATTATGATGGCGTCAGGTACGTGCGCGCATTGGGCGCGTTTGTACTGGCACATTACTGTCGTTCTCAACGATCACCCCACTTTAAAAACGTGTTGGATGTACGTGACGCTTTGCATAGCAACCGACTGGGACTAGGAACCTCACGCCTATGCGAACAGTCTCAGACACGAGGAAATAGCACGAGTATGCAAACTTCCCAGCAACGGCAATGACGACACGTTAGATGCACCGGAAAGCAGTCTAGGAGCCAATGAAAGCGAGGCGCGAGTGCACTAGCGGGACAGGATAACCAAAGAAGCTGTAAGCGGAGCAGAATCAGCCACAGAGCACTATCCTCGGAGATCATGCGAGAAGAACGGTGCATCGGCAGTTCTGGCGTGAGGGGGCAAGGGAGGGGGAACGGTACATGCCCCCTTCCCCAAGACGGCAAAAAGCAGAGCGGTTCTTTTGCGTGTTTTCGACTATCTGCTACAGCATTTGGACCGTGCCCAAGATTCGACGCTGGGTCCGCCCTCACACAGGCACGAGCCGGGCCGGGCCAGGAGCAGTGCCGGGGAGGCTGGGACCAAACCGGAAGACCCCAGAGGGGGAGGGGGAGGGTGGCACTCACGAGTCCGACTCCGAAGCCTCGTCAGAAGACTCTCGGACGAAGTCCTGGAATTGTGACCAAAGCGAGCTCCCTGCAACAGCGGCGGGAGGGGCGTGATTGGCGCGGCAGTACCCCGGCCATGAGAAGCGGTCAGTGAACGCTTCGTCACCATCATGGGCAAAGCTCCCACATGTTTTGGCGCCCGAGACCAATTTATAAGCTTCAGCACGGGTTATTGCTTTTTCAAAACGCCTCTTCCCAACGACTTCAAAATAGAACTATGCTCGGTGAACGTTCAGGGCCACATGTGTAAGTGGTGATAACTCATGGGCCTGACCCAGGCGGAGGGGAACGAGAAGAGGGAGCTCAAGGTAATGCTGCTGGCGAGCATATTTTAAGCAAGGCGATTCGACCGCTTTTAGAACTCTGCGTAGACCAGGGAGAATTTATGCAAGCCTGCATCAATCGGGGCGCTGGAGCACACTCTGCCACTCGCCAATCACCGCTGCAGCGCGGATGTGTTGGCCAATCACAGACCGTGAGCTGACGTGTCGGCCAATTGCAAGCAGGTGATTTTTCCCCGTGATTGGTCATCGCGACTTTTTCCACGTGCGAGGGATGGTGCAGCCGCCCTGTCGTGCGCCGTTTCGTCCCGGTAGGAAACGGAGGAAAAGGACTTCTCCGTAAGAGCGCAGACAAGAAGCAAGCGACGACAGAGATGGGGAGAAAATCGTCAGATCGCGGTCAGCAAAAAGAGGACGCAAGAAGCGAAGGGTACATCTTTCTAGCCGCGGTCCGTGAGCTGCTGACGCCGCCGCTACGTCAACAGTGCTGATTGGCGGCTACAGTTGGCTGATGATGACAGACGATCGCCCAGCCGTTTATTTTCCGGCGCCACCGGTGCCGAGCAGACACGGCTCGAGCGACGCTACGCAGGCAAGTCAGACAGCGACAACCGAACAAACAAGGCCGCGGTCCCAGCGCGGGAGATAGTCACCCGGCGCCGACACCGCAGCATGCCGCGCTCACGCCAGCCATGCTTCTCTCCTCCCCACAAACCGGGGGCGTCACCCTCGGCTCACTCACTGGCGGCCTTGCCCTGCTGGCGTGTCCTGAGCTTGAGCTGGGGTCGCCTGACCGAGTGGCTGGTACGGCCGGGGCTGACCCCCATGCGCTTCCTGCCGGTGCCGGTCGCACGCCTAGCCTCGGCCAGCAGCGCCTCTGGAGCCGGCACGGACCGGTCAGCGGACACGAGCGCAGCCGGAGGTCGGCGAACACGGGCACAGCCGGAGGTCAGCGAACACGGGCACAGCCGGAGGTCAGCGAACACGGGCACAGCCGGAGGTCGGCGAACACGGGCACAGCCGGAGGTCAGCGAACACGGGCACAGCCGGAGGGCAGCTAACACGGGCACAGCCGGAGGGCAGCGAACACGGGCACAGCCGGAGGGCAGCGGAAACGGGCGCGGCAGGAGGGCAGGGGTGCGCACTGCCGTCTTCATCAGGCACCGGCCGCCGACACGGCTGGGTCCGGCGTCACTCAGAGGATGTACTTTCGGGGGACAGTAATGCCACGATATCACGTCTTATGACATCAATTTAAAACAAATGCTCTTTGAAAGAAGAAAGACCTGTCAAAGCTTTTCAACAGCCGTAAGTGTGAAACAAGGAAATCATGCACCTAGTTTTGTCACAATGCTACACAAAACTGGACGAAAAAACGGAAATATGACAGCTGACGTCAGGCGTCTTCTGGGCCCTTTAGCTCTTGTTCACAATGCGCTGATCCTCAAACCAGGTGTGCGTGTGCGCGTGAGGTGTGCGCGCCGTTGCGCGGCAGGCATTGCCGGAAGGTCAGAGCGTTTTGCGGGGGCGTGGGATTGGGATATAGAAGACCTTGTCCACCCGCGCACCGTGCTCGTGGAATACATCAGTGAAACTGTAGTGAAAGGCATACATATTGTTCGCTTTGCCACTGAAGGCATTGCCGCGGGGAGGAGAGAGTTTTTCAACACGCTGCTGCGTCTCCTTGGACTTTTTGCAGCGTCCCAGAATGGCCCCGGCTAGTGTTAACGAATATGCAAGTTTAGTGGACATCAAACAACACTAAATAAAGCGCATATATACACACACACGTCAATATAAACATATATATATATATATATATATATATATATATATATATATGTATATATGAGAATATATTCAGCTCAAAAGGTACATCGTCAGTAAGCATAACTTCTGCTGTTTTGTTGAAAAATGGCGGTTTGTTAAGGGCAGGAGATGGCAAGCACGGACACCGCATAACGGTGGGTAACCAGTTATTGGGAGGACAGGTTTAGTTTACGCCAAAAATGTTTTCATTCTCCAGTTATTTGCAATGAAAGTCAGAAATGGTTATTATTGGTGTTTGTGCTCATGCTACTATATAAAGTAAATAACCCAACTCTAAAAATGTTCAGTTTAATCATAAGAGCCTGTATCCTGAATTGGCTGGGAAGACAGATTGCCGACCCGAAAAGGGCTGTTGGGAGAAGGCCTAGGCCATGGGCCATGGCCTAGGCCAAGGCCATGTTTTTCGACTTCTGCTAGGACCACTGGGCTGAGTAGTGAAGGGACACCGGGCGGAGGTCACTCAGACGTCAGCGGAGCGAGTGTTGGCCCACCGTAAGGGGTGTCGGTCACGGAACGTGGGCTCGGTGTTGCTCACACAAGGACACGAACACGAGGATACCGACCTGAACACAGACACAAGGGCGACGACCTGAACACAGACACTGACCCGACCCTGAACTCGGACACAAGTACACCGACCGAACTCAGACACCAGGACACCGAATGATATCAGACACAAGGATACCGACCAGAACACAGGGACACAAGGAACGCCCAGAACACAGACACAAGGACACCGACCTGAAACTCAGACCAAGGACACCGACCTGACACAGCCACAAGGACACCGACCTGAACTCCACACAAGGACACCAACTCTGAACACGACACAACGGCACCCGACCTGAACTCCGACACGAGGACACCGACCTTGAAACTCAGCCACAAGGACATCAATCTGAACACCAGGCAGGAGGAGCCCCACGACCGCCGCGCCGGCTCGGTCAGTCGGCGGCGCTGCTCACCGGGCGGCAGAGACTCGCGCCTGTCGCCAGCCACCTCCCCCGGCTCCAGCAGCACGCGCAGCTCCTCCTCCGGCTCCTCCTGCTGGCCCTTCCTCATTTCGTCCAGTCCTGGCGGCCGAGGGAGGGTGGGGGGCAGCAGCTGCGGGGCGGTTCACGGTTCGCTGAACCATCAGCGGCAGGCTCGAGAACCTCCCGTCTCTCGGCACATTGCCGGGACGGCTCGAGAACCTCTCGTCTATGGGCATATTGCCGAGCCGGCTCGAGAACCTCCCGTCTCTCGGCACACTGCCGGGCCGGCTCGAGAACCTCCCGTCTCTCGGCATATCGCCGGGCCGGCTCGAGAACCTCCCGTCTCTCGGCACACTGCCGGGCTGGCTCGAGAACCTCCCGTCTCTCGGCACATTGCCGGGCCGGCTCGAGAACCTCCCGTCTCTCGGCACATTGCCGGGCTGGCTCGAGAACCTCCCGTCTCTCGGCACATTGCCGGGCCGGCTCGAGAACCTCCCGTCTCTCGGCACATTGCCGGGCCGGCTCGAGAATCTTCCGTCTCTCGGTACATTGCCGGGCCGACCCGAGAACCTCCCGTCTCTCGGCATATCGCCGGGCCGGCTCGAGAACCTCCCGTCTCTCGGCACACTGCCGGGCTGGCTCGAGAACCTCCCGTCTCTCGGCATATCGCCGGGCCGGCTCGAGAACCTCCCGTCTCTCGGCACATTGCCGGGCGAATGTGTTCCAAAATTGTCGCGTGCTGCGAACCATGTCGGACAGTTTAGCCTCAGCGCAGTGGTAGTTAGGCTCTGGCATTATGCTGATCCTTACATAGCGCTGATTCGATCCGAACATTGTGTACTGCGCTTGACCACATAGGGGCATCGTGGTGTTCAAGGAAATCAGTGATTTAGCAATAATTACCGGCACACGCGCCAAAGCACCGTCGTTGAAACATGGATCCTGCTAAAACGTTTCTGCGGATTGAAAACAGATCGCTGATCACCAACATACAGTTTGTAAACAGACCGCTCAAGACAAGCGGTAAAGGTTAAAATCGCTCCGAAACCTGAGCGAGGCAGACCCTTATAGAAATTGACTCCGTCTCGCCAGGTGATACCTTCTGGCCATTAGTGTCTGTCCCCTTACTGATAAAAAAACAATACTAAATTTAACGTCATCGTGCAGGATACCATCGTTGTCCATGTTTCCACAGCAAAATCGTTTTATCGTTGAAAAATGGGAAACTGACTTAGCACAAAAAAGTTGCAGTCTGTGCGGGCGGCTCCTGAGCAATTCGATGCTCATATTTTCTATCTCCCATCCCGGTAGTCAAGTGAGCAGGTTGTTCCACCTTTTAACATACTAACTCATGCATCGCAGCAGAACAACAGAACATCCCCCACACATCGCCGTGGCCATTGGCGGCCAGTCTCGTGACGTCACACTCACTGCTGGCGGCATCGTCGATGAGCTGGAGCAGCACCACCTTGTCCTGTCCCTCCAGCGCGAGCTGACCACGCAGCAGGACGATCATCTCCTCGCGCGCCAGCGCCAGCGAGCGTAGGTAGTAGGCCACCACACTGACGGGCCGGCCAGGGGCGGGCTCAGGCGGCATGTCATGATGATGACGTGACGTGATAACGGCATGAGATGATGATGACATGGCATGATGAAATGGCGTGGTAATGACGGACAGAATGCTAATATCAGACAGAGAGCGGAGAAGCAGCAGGATGTGTCGCGCGTCCCTCTGGCAGAGAGCGGAGGCGGCAGCAGGCTGTGTCACGCATCCCACTGGCAGAGAGCGGGGAAGCAACAGGCTGTGTCGCGCGTCCCTCTGGCAGAGAGCGGGGAGGCAACAGGCTGCGTCGCGCGTCCCTCTGGCAGAGAGCGGAGGCGGCAGCAGGCTGTGTCGCGCATCCCTCTGGCAGAGAGCGGAGAAGCAACAGGCTGTGTCGCGTGTCCCTCTGACAGAGAGCGGAGGCGGCAGCAGGCTGTGTCGCGCGTCCCTCTGGCAGAGAGCGGAGGCGGCAGCAGGCGTGTGTCGCGCATCCTTCTGGCAGAGAGCGGTGAAGCAACAGGCTGTGTCGCGTGTCCCTCTGACAGAGAGCGGAGGGCGGCAGCAGGCTGTGTCGCGCATCCCTCTGGCAGAGAGAGGCGAAGCAACAGGCTGTGTCGCGTGTCCCTCTGAACAGAGAGCGGAGGCGGCAGCAGGCTGTGTCGCGCATCCCTCTGGCAGAGAGCGGGGAAGTGGGTCGCGCGTCCTCTGGCAAAGAGCGGAGGGCGGCAGCAGGCTGTGGTCGCGCGTTCCCTCTGGCAGAGAGCGGGGAAGTGTGTCGCGCGTCCCTCTGGCAGAGAGCGGAGGCGGCAGCAGGCTGTGTCGCGCATCCCTCTGGCAGAGAGCGGAGAAGCAACAGGCTGTGTCGGCGCGTCCCTCTGGCAGAGAGCGGAGGCGGCAGCAGGCTGCGTCGCGCATCCCTCTGGCAGAGAGCGGCGAAGCACAGGCTGTGTCGCGTGTCCCTCTGACAGAGAGCGGAGGCGGCAGCAGGCTGTGTCGCGCGTCCCTCTGGCAGAGAGCGGGGAAGTGTGTCGCGCGTCCCTCTGCACACGTGTGCAGCGAAGACAGGGCTAACGGGCTGCAGACGCAGCGCCATCAAATCGGGCGGCCGGAAGGGGGGTGGGGGGGGGGGAGGGGGAAGCGTATGCGACGCAATTCCAGCACTGTCGAGCACAGGGGCACTATTCGACATTAATGCGCCACTCATCCGATGTCTTTCCCAGCCTGTCACGGCCACAGATTGCCCCACCGCACCACCCCGCACTGGTCCAGCCCCACGCTCCAGCTGCGACCTCACCCAGCCCTGAGCCGCTCCAGCTGCAACCTCATCCGACCCTGAACTGCCTCAGTTTTGACCTCACCCAGTCCTGAGCCGCTTCAGTTATGACCTCACCCAGCCCTGAGCCGCTTCAGCTGTGACCTCACCCAGCCCTGAGCCGCTTCAGCTGTGACCTCACCCAGCCCTGAGCCGCTTCAGTTGTGACCTCACCCAGTCCTGAGCCACTTCAGTTGTGACCCTCACCTAGCCCTGAGCCGCTTCAGTTGTGACCTCACCCAGCCCTGACCCGCTTCAGCTGTGACCTCATCCAGCCCTGAGCCGCTTCAGTGTGACCTCACCCAGCCCTGAACCGCCTCGCAACCTCCTGGACGAACCAACCTGACCTCAGCTGATTCAGCCCGCCCCCTGGCCTGACCTGAACACGAGCATCCAAGACGATCACCACACCGGGTCGGTTGGACCAGACGGCCAGGCCGTACACGAACGTGTGGCCCTCGTCCCGCCACCTGCGGCGCGGAGAGATGCTGCTCAGGACCGCGGTAAAGCCTGCCGGCCCCGCAGGGCCGAGCTGCCTGCGTCCAACCCACAGGGACACCACGCCAAGGGGCCGGAGTATCGCTCAGATGGCGGTAGGGGGACCCCCGCCATGGTGCGCTGCCTGCTGATTAGTCCTAAGGCACGGCTAAGTACAACCCTGAGCTACGGTTCTCCGTACCTGATGTGGCCAAGCTTAGCAACAGACGGATTTGTAATAATCTGTTCTCGGGCATCTTTGGAATCACTTTCTACCATCTGTACCAAGGCTGCGATGGTACTAGATTCGGCACAGCGGTTTTTGAAGCATTGAAAACTCCGCAAAACTAGGCTGTTAGAGCCATTAAAACAAGTCAAAATATGCAACATAATAACGGTTCAGATGCCTTACTAGACCTGCCCATAGCACCGTACTTGTTCAGCGTGTCATTGACGACCACCCACGGCGCCGATCGTCCCTGGAACGGGCCGCACTTCTCCGAAGGATGCACACTAGCGGACGGCACAGACAACTGAGTTACTCCGGACAGACGGCAGATGGCAGGGAGGGCGTACGGCGGCCCCGCGCCGTGGAGAAGCACTTACTTCCGTGGCGGCGGCCAGGGAAGCGCAACAGGCAGAGAAACACTTATGTGCGCACAACATGTACCGCACGCGCTCCAATGGCAGGCGACCGGTCCAGTTCTAAAATTACGAGGACGTAGTTTGACTGAAGTTCGGCACCACACGTTTCCCAGGTTGGCACACTCGGCCGCTATCAACACCCAGCTCCCTCACCTAAACCTCTTATTTCCATGCCGATGACCATACTAGATGATGCCCAATGGCGTTCCGGGATCGGTACCAGCCAACGCAGCGGTACCCTCTCAAAAGAGCTCCGGCACACGAACACGCACTCGGCCCGCCCCTGCCCCCACAGAGCGGGGCCGTCAAGGCTATTTCCTGAAGCAGCTGCCGGGCGGCCGGTGGCCAGCTGAAGCCGTAGATGCTCAGGACGGTTAGCCGTGGTAACGACGACGGCTCACTTGAAGATGATGTAGCCGGTGAAGCAGGCGGCGAGGAAGCAGACGATGAAGGCCACCACCCGGAACACGGTCTGGGTCTGCGAGGCTCGAACGGAGCGGGCCTGGGGCTGGCAGTTGTGCTCCAGCGACCACTGTGACGTCACGGCGCGGGGTCACGCAGGGACACACCGGGGGCAACGCAGAGAGCAAGCCCTAACGTTTGGGGAGGGGAAAGCACGGAACGCCAGAGCGGCGGGGGCGAGCATCGGGCAACGGATACACAGAAACGCTGGGATTTGCCACGGTGCGGGGATGGAGACGAGGCGACGCATGCAGGTATCGCTACTAAAGAGAAAAAAATAACATAACGAATATGAGAGTGATACACTGGAACCGCTTAGAATGAAATCTCCCATAACTTGAATGCAAAATAAAAATATGCAGCGCATCATATTTTGTTTCTTGTGCACATATTTCACACGGAGCAAGTTTTAAAGACCACGCCAGATGAACAACCAAATCTTCAGTCGCACAGCAAGGAAGACCCCAAGGATACAAAACAGCACAGAAAGCACTGCGACAGCATTAATTAAGTCGAAGGCATTTCATATATCCCATGCAGTGCATCGCCTACGTCGTACACTTGCCCCTAATAATACCTTTGTAGAAAATGCAGATAGTCTTGTGCTACAGAAAATATTCCTTTCAAACAGAGAATAAGCGCTACCAATCCCCCCCCCCCCCCCCCCCGCCACACCAGCAGATTTCACGAAAACCTTGGGCCGCCAGCTGCCGGCGGGCTCACCTTCCGAGCGTGCTCACCTTCCGAGCGTAGAAGGTGATGATGAGCTTGAGGGAGCCCATGAGGGAGAGGACGGGGCTGAAGTAGGTGCCCGTCCACACCAGGGTCTGGCCGTAAATCAGGAACATGGTGCTGCGCGGAATGTCAAAGTGCGGCTCTTCCGCCCACATCAGGCCTTTCCTGGAGGACAGGAGCCGGGGGGAGCAGGTCAGAGGCGCATGGTCATGCAGGAGGGAGAGGGGGAGGAGGACGTGGCGAGGATTAGGGGAGGCGTCAGACGTGGTGGTGGAAGAGAGGGCGAGCAAGAAAGGCCGAGGCTTGCACAGGGACTGCTGATGACAACTGTGTATTATTGTTTTGTGTTGCAGTGCTAGTTGTTACAGGAGCCGCCGGCCACGGATCTGCGGGCGCCAGTGCCTCGGCTCGCGGGGGCTAACCAGGCGCCCTGGTGACCAGCCGAGGCCCGGCCCCTTGATGGTGTCAGGAGGCAGACACTGCACCCGACAGCTCCTCCTCAACGTCCGTCACGTGGCCCGTCCGGCTCCAAGCCAGTGTCACGAAAATGTGACGCATGACCGGCCGGCTTTCTCGTGTGGAGTCCTCACGAGGCGTCCGTAGGATCACAGATCCGGGCCCAAGCCATATGTTGGCAGGCTGCCCCGACTGATCCGTGGGGCAGCCTCCCCGCGAGACCCAGGTAAGGCTGGGAAGGTGGGGCCGAGGGGCTGCTTATCCATACACGGAACAAGTCAGGGCCCCTGCGGGAGGCACATTTAATCTGGCCCCTTCCTTTGGCCGGAAGGGTGCTTTACAAGCCTCTCCAACGACCAGCAGGATCAGCGGAGTACACAATCTCCCCACCACGGGAAGGCGGTGCATCACGGGGGGCCAAGCACGCTCGGACCGTTTGAGTAGCTGTTGAGCCGCCCCGTTCGCCAGCTGGTCGACCAGCTGACCGCCGCGGCAAATGGCAACGTTGTTGTGCCGCTGCCCCGCGTCCCGCGCGTGGTGGCGCGCCGCCCACTCACTGGAACGAGAGCTTCCTGACGCCCTCCAGCCCGATCTCGACGACCAGCGTGAAGATGAGGTCCACGAGCATGAGCTGGTACAGCTCCGAGCCCACCTGGTCCTCCCAGCACTGGCCGCAGGGACGGCACGATCAGCCCAGCACACGGCCGGCGCGCTCAAGCCAGCCAACACGGACCAGCGCATCCCCAGCGCTGGCCACCTGACACAAACGTCAGAACTGGGCTGCACAGAGAACAGGCGCCAGATGCCACGAGCGGGCGCCAGGGGTGGCTGATGAGGACTCAACAAACGGTGAGAAGGCTTAGTTGAATGACTATCCGCCATCGTTCACAATATGCTCACAGTTGCAACATCATCTTGCAACTTACCTAAAACAATGCAGTATTCACATCAAGCACTGCCATTGGCTCTGATTTCAAGAAAATTATTTCCAAGCTTAACACAAAGAGACAGCCATGTTTTCGCAAAGCGTCTCTATCACGTGAACATGTTTCGTATCACGCCCATGATATCGCCACATTCATCCCCAGGCCGGAAACTTCTGTGAACATCGCACAGATCCAGCAAGGGTGCAACCGGAAGGCACGCACGTGCGGTCGGCCAAGAGGGGGCAGGATCGGGAGGCACGCGAGTGACCGGAAGTGAGGCCCGTCAGGTTTGGCCGCGGGAGAAGCCGGCCAAGGACAGAGTGATCCTATGTCAAGGAGGCACAGTTGGCCGGGCGCGAAGCGAGACTAGCGACCGGGCACGTTAACCAAGGTGAAGGCGGGGGTGGTCAGCCGGAAAGGGGTCAGCTTAGAGGCCAGTCACGTGACCGGAGGTCGAGCCTCGGCGGACACGTACCCGCTGGCGCAGCCCGGCTCTTGTCGGCAGCCTCCGTGTTGACCTTGTGCACCCAGTAGATGACGATGGTGCCAGAGGATGATGATGGCCATCACCACCATCCTGGCAGCGGTGGCCGGGCGTCAGCCGAGACACGCGGTGGCATCACACGGCATGCAAAAGGCCTAGGTCGGCGCGAGAACGGCTCGCTGAATAACAGCAACATTATAAGCATTTAGGGCCGATCAAACGAACACTGTCACTTGTCAGGCTGCATCCGCAGTCCTGGAGATGCATCCAAATAACCTGACGTCATGGCACGAGCAGGGAGCCTGCATAATAGTAAACGTTCAGTAGTTTGTAGCGCATGCACTCCAGCTACTTCAGCCAATCTCGCGATATGTTTTGCGGGCCACGGGAATTCACTGCTCAACATTCCACATTTCCTGAGGGCAGACCACTGGAAAATGCAACCGTGGTCTGGCTAAGCGGCATGACTCACTGACCAGACCTGACCTGATGAGCCTAGCCTGACCTGATGAGCGTGATAAACATAAGGGCGCGCGCGTGCGTGAAGTTTTCCAGCTGGCCGAGCAGCTGGAAGAGCAGCGGGAACAACGCCATCGAGCTGCTGATCATGAGCGCCGACGCCAACAGAGATATCGTGTTGCCCTCCTGCCCCTCACTCTGTCGGAGGAGAGAGACGGTGCGTGGCCCGACGTCTTGAGGTATAGTTTCAATCGACACAGGCGCGAGTTTGGCATGAGTTAGGGTTGTAAAATTAGCAGTAAAAAGTCACGAAACCTTCACCAACAATCCCTAACAAGCGAGTTCCTTGCACTGGTTTTGTCCATTCTTTCTCAGATTTGGGAAGGAGGGGGGGGGGGGGGGGGGGGGTGGAACCTAAATGGGGTAGATGATGGTGATGGATAGGTAACTACGCCCCTAGAGCGACCGGTTGATGCTGCTATTTTCAGCCAAATGGAGTTCTTGTGAGTGGTCGTGACACTCGATGCAGCACATTTGTTTCACCGCCAAATGCGTCTTGTGATGCTGGCTCCATGATTCCTCGAAAAGAAACAGCTTGGTCTTAAGGCCGCGCTCCTCGGATAGTGTTTGGCAGGCCACACCCAGACCAGACCATTCCCGCTGGGGCGGACTACCAACTGCGGTTAACGATGTTGACGGCTCGTAGCGACGTCACGCGGCGTGCGCTTGGCTCCGGTCGGGTACCAACTAGATCCGCGGAGTCGCACCGCACAGAATAGTGATCGACCGGCGTGCGAGACCTTCCCAGCACCTTGCCGTCACACACACACACAGCGACAGGGAGCCGTGCCGCTGCGAGCCGAGAGAAATTGCGTGCGTCACCCCACGTGTACCAGGCACAACCAGCTACCATCAGTTAGCCATGGATACACCAGTGACCGACTAGCTGGCGGACCAACACGGCAAGCCACCGGACCTGTTGCCTAGCGCGTGTGACATCAGCTCCGTCTCACAGCCAGTGGAAGGTACAGTCGCTTCGAGGCAGCTTACCGTACGGCTTCGGACACACCAAACGCACAGAGCTCCACAGGGAGGGAAATCTATCACGGAGCTCCACAGGGAGGGAAATCTACCATGGAGCTCCACGGGAAGGGGAATCTACCACAGGGCCCCATGGGAGAGAAATCTACCACAGAACTCCATGGGGAGAGAAATCTACCATAGAGCTGCACAGGGAGGGAAATCTGCCACAGGACTCCACAGCGCGGGAAATCTACCACGAGGCTCCACATTGACGGAAGTGTACCACAGAGCTCCACAGGGAGCGAAATCCACCACGGAGCTCCACAGGGAGGAGAATCTACCACAGAGCTTCACAGGAAGGTAAGTCTACCATGGAGCTCCACACGGAGGGAAACCTACCACGGAACTTCACAGGTAGAGAAATCTACCACGGTCATTGGTGGTATATAACGACTTTGCATGACACGATAAGAATTGCTCAGTAGCATGTATATGACTAGCAGGCTACCAGAAAATCCTCCCAGTGCCCGCAACAGTCGGGTGACGGGGTCAGGGTTCACGTACCAAACGCGCGAGCAGCGAGGTCTACCACGTCTCTGACGCCACGATAGCAAGCCACTCACGCGACAACACTGACCAACAACACAGCCTGTAACCTGAACAAGTGCCGGGGTACAGTCTCCGCCTCACGGAGCCCCCTCGCCCAGCTGCCACCAGGCGGTGTCAGTGAACCACCACGAGAGCCGCCAAACAGCCCAACGCCGCCAAACAAAACGGCCGAGGCGTCACGCACCGCATCCATGCTCATGACCAGCCAGGTGAGGGCCGAGATGGCGGCCAGCACGCCCAGCACCAGCAGGTTGCTGGCCGTGCGACCCAGCGCCGTGTAGAGGCTGGCCCGGCGGCGGCGCGCTGCCGCCTCCTCGTCCTCCGGAGTCGCCGCCGCCTCCGCCGCCGCCTCCTTCTTCTTTAGCTTCTTCTGCGGACAGGGTGTGGTTCTTCTTCCTCAGTTTGGAGTGGGGGTGGGCTGTAACCACTCACCCCACTTCTATTTACGAGGAAAGTGAGTCAAATCCGTGAAGAAAACCCGCTCGTTTGCATGTGTTGAAGGTAGGTTGCCTTATTTTTCACGGCTCATCCCCTTCCCTCAACTCATTTTGCGAGACTATGCGCCTGACTGCGGCGGTGAGGTCAGGGGTCTACATCCCTGCCTGCGGCGGTCAGGTCACGAGACTACGCCCCTGTCTGCGGTGGTAAGGTCACGAGACTATGCCCCTGTCTGCGGTGGCCAGGTCAGGGGACTACGTCCCTGCCTGCGGCGGTCAGGTCACAGAACTACGTCCTTGTCTGCGGTGGCCAGGTCAGGGGACGTCGGCGAGGACGCTGTGGTGACGCTGTGTGAGCTCGTGGGCGTCGGGAGTGGATTCGGGACCTACTCGTGGAGCTGGCTACAGTGTCTGCATGCGCCCCGTGAACACACCGCGGGCTTTGAACAGGTGAGAGCAACGAGAAACGTCGGCAAGGGAAGGCCGACACCGCCGCCAGGCATGCTAATACAGGCGAACAATGGAACCAGGACGATCGGAGTCTGGAACCGTCATGTTTTTAGATATGGGGGGTGGGGTGAGGCGGACTTGAGACAGATGACCAGAGATAACCTGGATGTGACCATGATCCCGTCACGCTGTTGTTACTGTTAGGGCTTTGCGAAGCGCTGAGCTGTCTGCACGCTGAGGCTGTGTGGCGACGCCCGCCCCTCCCCTGGCACAGCGGGCAGTCGAACCCCGTACCTCCGACTTCCCAGACGCGCTGATTAACCACTGCACCACTGAGACTGATCTCGTGATCAAAGGCTCGCATCGCGTCAGCCGCGAAAAGCCCCGATTCACGCGCACGCGCCATCCCCGCTACCGTCACGATGATGGTGGTGATGATGGCGATGACAACACCATGATCAACACTGCCACCACCACCACCATTGTTCGCCTGGAGGGAGCAGTGGATGCCGTGTCTCTTGCTCAACGGCAGGGAGCTGTAGGTGCCGTATCAATTGATCTCACCTGGAGGGAGCTGTAGACGCCGTGTCTGTTGAGCTCACCTGGAGGGAGCTGTAGACGCCGTGTCTGTTGAGCTCACCTGGAGGGAGCTGTAGATGCCGTGTCTGTGGGAGGGAGCTGTAGATGCCGTGTCTGTTGAGCTCACCTGGAGGGAGCTGTAGACGCCGTGTCTGTTGAGTTCACCTGGAGGGAGCTGTAGACGCCATGCCTGTTGAGCTCACCTGGAGGGAGCTGTAGATGCCGTGTCTGTGGGAGGGAGCTGTAGATGCCGTGTCGTTGAGCCCACCTGGAGGGAGCTGTGGATCCCATGCCGCTTTAGCTCACCTGAAGGGAGCTGTAGATGCCGTGTCTGTTGAGCTCACCTGGAGGGAGCTGTAGACGCTGTGTCTGTAGAGCTCACCTGGAGGGAGCTGTAGACGCCGTGTCTGTTGAGCTCACCTGGAGGCAGCTGTAGACGCCGTGTCTGTTGAGCTCACCTGGAGGGAGCTGTAGACGCCGTGTCTGTGAGCTCACCTGGAGGCAGCTAGACGCCGTGTCTGTTGAGTCACCTGGAGGGAGCTGTAGACGCCGTGTCTGTTAGTCACCTGGAGGCAGCTGTAGACGCCGTGTCTGTTGAGCTCACCTGGAGGGAGCTGTAGACGCCGTGTCTGTTGAGCTCACCTGGAGGGAGCTGTAGACGCCGTGTCTGTTGAGTTCACCTGGAGGGAGCTGTAGACGCCGTGTCTGTTGAGCTCACCTGGAGGGAGCTGTAGACGCCGTGTCTGTTGAGCTCACCTGGAGGGAGCTGTAGACGCCGTGTCTGTTGAGTCACCTGGAGAGCTGTAGACGCCGTGTCTGTTGAGTCACCTGGAGGGAGCTGTAGACGCCGTGTCTGTAGCTCACCTGGAGGGAGCTGTAGACGCCGTGTCTGTTGAGCTCACCTGGAGGGAGCTGTAGACGCCGTGTCTGTTGAGCTCACCTGGAGGAGCTGTAGACGCCGTGTCTGTTGGGCTCACCTGGAGGGAGCTGTAGACGCCGGTCTGTTGAGTTCACCTGAGGGATCTGTAGATGCCGTTCCGTTTGAGCTCGGCCAGCTGTTGGGAGGTGACCCGGGCGTCCCAGCCAGCCAGTATCAGGTGGCGGTGGTGCCGCTGGTGTCGGTCGACCCATCGATGAAGTTCTTGCGGTAGGAGCGGGCCGTGCTGAAAACAGACGGCGTGGAGCAGCAGCGGCCAGGAGCGGGACGCAGCGGCGCGTCATCACTGAAGGGGATTACCGTGATCATCCTACGTGTGCCGACCAGGGACGTGATCCTTACCGTGTTTACTGGCGTTGTCACCTGTGATCATCTTAAGCGTGATAATCATGACGTGATCCTAAGCGTGCTCACTGAAGTGATCACCGTTGTAACCCTTATCATGATAACAATGGCGTGATCCTAGGAGTGTCCACCGAAGTGATCACCCTGATCATCCTCAGCATGGCAACCATGGCCTTATCCTAAGCGTATTCACCAAAGTGATCACCGTGATCATCCTAAACTTGATAACCGCAGCGTGATCCTAAGCACAGCTTGATACGCCGAGTGCCATCAAATGACACAACACGTGACGTTTAACCAGTACCTCCTGACCTATTGAAGGTCGATACCTCAGCATGGGAACTCTGAACTTGCAATGCCGAAAAACCAGGAGTTCAAGCCTTTTTTGCTTATGTCAAGTGCATCACTTCTCTCTTCTCACACTGTTTCTGATGCAAGCACGAGACAAGCCCCGATACACAGCGGTTGGATCGAAGTATAAGCAATAGAGCACGGCATGGCTTACCCGACCCACCCTAACCTAGAACTGGTTGGCATGACCAAGGCCGACCTAAGGTGGAGTTGCGTTACTCCGACACGTTGAGGCAAACTGAAGGGCCTCGCCCCAGGCCATGTTTTCAAAAGTCAGCTCCTTTTTATCTCAATGAATGACGTTCCACGTGAGGCAGACTTTGAACTCAAACTTCTAAAATGCAAGCAGACGAACAATAAAAGAGCATCACAGTGCCAACAGACAGCCAAAAATTACACGAACCATCACGATATACTCTGGGCTGGTTAACCTTACCGACGGGTGACTGAAGCGCACACTACCCACCTGCTGGCCAGCATGATGAGCTGGAAAGTGATGCATAGGGTGGTGATGTTGAGGTAGGCTGACGGCATGTAGTACGAGCTGCCGCCAGCCATCGGGATGCGGCCGCGGTAGTAGTTGCCGTAGTACATGGGGGTCGTGAGGAACCAGCCCTGCCGCGCAGACGCGAGGCGAGCTGCTGCCATGATCGGGTGACAGTCTCGGGTTACGACACGACATGCCGCGGCGCGTGGCACACACAACGGAACAGCGAGCACTTCCTTATATGGGTTCGACTCCCGCATAAGGCGCCGTAGTTCTCCGACGAGCAGAGAACCTTGACAAGGGCGACAGCTGAAACAAGTGTGGTGCTGCAGAGATCCATGAGAACGGCTCGGCTGACCAGCTGCGGCGGAATACAGCACGGATGGGACCAGCGGGCGACGCGATCGGAGCATACGCAGCACACACGCCGGACAGTGAGTGAGACGAGAACAGGCAGACGCACAGCTGACGAAGGGCGGCGCGGGGGGGGGGGGGGCGGTCTCCGTCTGACCGCGTCTTTCCACCTTCTCACCGGGTTTCCCACCTTCTGACAGCGTTTCTTACCTGGCCGGTGAGCAGGTTTGCCAGGTGAAAACGACGGAGCCGGACGGGCCATGGTGCCCAGACGATGGGACGGCGTTCCCACTGCGACACACCACACCCGGCCGCGCGACACAGTGAGCACCCAGCTGGGGCACGGGGCACGGACTAGGGCAACGAACTAGGGCACTGCACATGACGGCTCGTGTTGACGACACACAAACACTTCATGTCAATACGTAATGAGCCACTTTGAGGATGTGCATGGACCAAATGGATGCGACAACGGCTGGACAACATAGAAGAACACAACGATAGAACTGAGGATCAAGCGCACTGTTCTATTTCGTGCTCGGTCGCAATTCGTTCGCATGCTTGAAATATAATAATTATTCACACCAAGCATAAAAGGGAACGCGTGCATGCATCACTGGCAATGCCGTTGTATTTCACAGTACTGTAGATTTGGGGCTACCGAGATGCTTGAAATAACAGGCTCATGAGTGAAAACTGAAGGCGAGAAATATCTGCGACAAAAAAACAACACCCACCGAGGAGGTTCCAAGAAGAGAAAGAAGATAAATAGCGGGAACAGGATTACATGAACTGCGTCTAAGAGCTAAGAGCTAAGATTTGAAGGTAGAGTTGAAGGAACTGCTCAAGAAAACGAGAACACGCCGAAAAGGAGAGGATAGCAAGACGAAACGTATCATCGGAAAAGATCGAAAGCACGCACACAATGTGAAAAATACAGAAGCTTGACATTCCAAACTCCCACAACAGCAGTCAGAAGATCGCAAACGGACAGAATCAAAGAGCACCACACAAAGACAGATGATAATGCGAACACACAAGTCAAGGAGACAAAGCAAGGCCGAAGTGCAACAGAGCAGGCGACACGAAAAGTCCGGCAGAGCCGCGCGTCCACAGCCGGGGACAGCCTAGCATCTCGCCGCAGCCGGGGACAGCGACCACAGCGGACCATGTGACCACAGACCACAGCTGAGAACAGCGGCCTCGGCCGACCACGTGACTACAGTGAGGACCGTCCGAGAGGCCGGAGCCGGAACCACCGCCCCCGGCAGCGCCCACCGCCGATGACAGCACCCACCGCCGATGGTAGTACCCACCGCCCATGGCGCTGCGTCGAGCCTCGTCCGGGTCGTTGAAGTCCAGCACCAGCTGCGGCAGCACCAGGAACAGCACGCTGCCGGGAGCGGGGTATGTGTCCGCGGCGGCGGCTCAGCTGGGCGGAGGGGTGAGGCGGCTTTGGTACTCTGGGCTCATTACCGCAAGGGTTATATGTATATCTATCTATATGTATATATATATATATATATATATATATATTATATATGTGTGTGTTTATATGTACATATATACTATCTGTAATATACATACACATATATCTTTTGCGGGGGGCCATACCATGCTCACCAAAATACCTAGTCGGTATGGAAAATACGACAGCAGCACTAGCATTGATTACGACGATCTCAGATAACACTTAAGCCAGATCTCGCTCGTCTAAACAGCTGTGCACCCGGGCGCTACTGACCTGACCAGCAGCACCTCCAGGTTCACCACCAGCAGCCAGCGCATGAAGCGGAAATAGAGACCCACGTTCTGGCCAAAGTTGCCCTCGATGCTCTTCAGCTGTTCGTGCCAGATGTGCACCAGGTCGTGGACATCCGCCAGATGCCGCTTCGTCTACGGGGAGACGGACGCCTGGACAGCTGCAGTGTCCAAACACGGCTGACCGCGGCCGCCGTACCTTCAGGTGGCAGCTGCTGGAAACAGCCGGTGTGGCCGTCTGGACAGCTGCAGTGTCCAAACACGGCTGACCGCGGCTGCCGTACCTTCAGGTGGCAGCTGCTGGAAACAGCCGGTGTGGCCGTCTGGACAGCTCCAGTAAAGCATAACGGAAAAACATGATAGAATGAAATAAACATTTGACGAGAACTGACGTGACTGTTTCCACGCTGCCTATGCTATCTTTACCCCTCCCCCTCCCCTCCCCAATGCCCTCCGTCGTGACCATGGTCACATGTAGCCGCTTCGCTCAGCACCCCAGCACAGAGCCCGTCGCCGCGCCATCCCCACGGAGAGCCCGGGTGGCCACCAGAGGGGCCGCGGCGAGCGCCGCCGGCTCACCAGCACCAGACCGCGTCCGAGTCTGTCCGTTAGCACCTGGAGCCGGGTGCGGCTCTGCACGCTGCGCTGGTACTCCAGGTTCTGCTCCAGCCGCTGGCGCACCAGCCGCTTCACCGTCAGACTGACGGTCAGCTCGCGCAGCCGCTTGCTGGGGCGGGGTCAGAGCGGGGTCGCGGCGGGGTCAGGGCGGGGTCATCATGGGTTAGGGCAAGGTCAGGACGCGGTCAGGCGGGATGAGAGCGGGGTCACGGCACGGTCAGGGTGGGGTCACCGCGGGTTAGGGCAAGGTCAGGGCAAGGTCAGAGCGCGGCCAGGGCGGGACCAGAGTGGGGTCACGGCACTGTCAGGGCGGGGCCACTGCGGGTTAGGGCAAGGTCAGGGCGGCATCATCGCGGATCAGGGCGCGATCAGGGCGGAACTGCCGCGGGTCAGGGGAGAGGAACGATACCGACGGCCGGCCGGTCACCTGATCACGTGAGCTGGTTATGGTCTGCCGGTCAGCCGGTTATGTGACGGCCGGTCAGCTGATTACAGCACCATCAAATGCACAGAGTCGTGAGTATTTGATCGTGTGGTTAATAGCTGTATGCAAATAACGATTCTGCACAACCGGGTGACATTGAAACAGTTCATTATGCGTTTTAGTTGACAACACCGCAACATGTGATGAATACGGCACCCTTCTTATGGTTCGTCTGCCGTTCTTTACTCACTTTTTTCGCATCTCAGTTAAAACGGACTTGCCATGCGATTGCAGTTCCATCTCGATGACGTCCACGAGGCTGGACACATCCTTTTCATATCTGAAAATTGACCCCGGCTACGAACCCAGCCACAAATCCAACTCAACACTCAGCCACAACCACGATGAGTCTGAGTCCGCCTGACGAAGCGGAGCGTCCCACCGTGCGAGGTGCGGCATGACAGCTAAACCCGGCATCCAGCTCACGAGGGACCGCATCCCACCTGACGCGCCACCTCCCCGCACCTGAGGAGCGAGGGCGCCCAGCGTCCAGCTCACGAGGGACCCCACCCCACCTGACGCGCCACCTCCCCGCACCTGAGGAGCGAGGGCGCCCAGTGTCCAGCTAACAAGGGACCCCACCCCACCTGACGCGCCACCTCCCCGCACCTGAGGAGCGAGGGCGCCCAGTGTCCAGCTAACAAGGGACCCTACCCCACCTGGCGCGCCACCTCCCCGCACCTGAGGAGCGAGGGCGCCCAGCATCCAGCTCACGAGGGACCGCATCCCACCTGAGGAGCGAGGGCGCCCAGTGCCCAGCTAACAAGGGACATCCCCCCACCCGGCACACCTCCCCGCACCTGAGGAGCGAGGGCGCCGTGTGGACGTGACTGCTAGAAACGGTCACCAGCTCGTCGGGCGCCGACGGGCCGCCGCCGCCGCCCGTCGACGACGTCTTGCCGTACGCCAGCGTCGCTGCCGGGTGGAGGAGGGGAGGCGGCAGGTTACCGGCTCAGTACCGTGGGATGCTACCAGAAACAGAGACAGTACAGCGTTGTTGATAAACGCGCAGAACATGTATTCCAACATGGAAAGTAAAATAGAATTGCACCGTGTTTTAAAACGTGACACCGCCTCGCTAAGCGGAAACTTTCTTTTTGGAATTTGCCGATGGCCACTTCCACGAAGGATTTTTTTTGTGACGGCGAACATGACGAAGCTCTGCCTAGTGACGGGAGTTTTGTGCTCTCTGCCAGTCCTCACGTTCTGAATGAGCTTTGAGACGTTCTAAACGGCTGACACGAACTCGGTGGCATTTACTACGCGGCCGTTCTGCAAACGTGCCTTCGAACTCAAATGTGCACTGTTCCACGTCCCGAGAAACATCTGCTGCCCTAAAAACACAAACGTCTTATTCTCACGGCAGCACACCTATTTTGCTGGCGGAGAGCGCCATTTTGGACGGCATCTGCTTCATCATGGCGCGCGCAAAGCCGCAGTTCTCCAGATTGGGCTGCTGCTGGCCCTTGCAGCGTGGCCAGAGTTGCCAGACTATCGATCCGCCTGTGGACGTCAGCAGACCCTCACGCCACGTCACATCAGCCGTCACGTCAGCCATTATGCCGCATCAGCCGTCGCGTCACATCAGGCGTTACGTCACATAGCATCATCCGTCACGCCACATGCGAGCTGTCACGTTGCCATCATGCAAGTCCAACGCAGCCTGCCATGACGTCACATGGTCCGTGCCCACTGAGTCACAGTGCAGGGTGATAGCTGCACAGGCTGCGTGACCGTCGCACGTCACAACGGTGGTCACGTGACACACGGCCGTCACACTGCAATTGACCGCCACGTCGTGTCCCCATAGGTACGTTGAACCCTTTTGCACGTTTGCACTTGTTCGACCCGTGCTTAATTTAGCCCCGCCGCATTACAAAGAAATCTCATTCTAAAGTGCTCGGAAACAGGACAAACAATGATGATATCCGTGGCTTGTATTCAAATGTTCAGTAACCGTTACCGTAGAAGCATTTTCGCTTCGTTCTCATGTAGCAGGTCGCCATTCTACGTTTGCGCTTTGGTTCCATGGAACCCAGTCGTAATGTACCACAAACGTGAACTAATAAACTCGAATATGACGATGAAATGAAAACGTCTCCGATGTAACAAGCCGTAGCTTCTTTTGCCCTGACAAGCCTTGTGTTTCGCTCCTGAATTTGTATCGTGCATTTCAGATTAGATTAGACTATCAAGGTAGGTTCATGTCTAATCAAATGCTTGCTTGAAAAGGTCATGTTTAACTCAGCACGAAACGTTCGCTTTGCATAACATGACCCATAACTTAAGCTATATCTTAAGCATAAGCTATATCTCTGGGTCTAGAATGCGCCTCGCATGTCACATCTTCCAGCGTAGCTTATCCATCAAACGCGCCACTCGCCACATACCACATACGTTAGCTGCCATGTATGTACGGTTACATGCACACTCATCTGACGCGACCTCATTGGAAAAGTTCGTAGCTCGACACTGGCGAAGAATCGCCACACACGTGTTTCGCTTCGGCCCAAGCAGCTTTAGAAACGCTGACAGGTAACGTACAATATCCCTGTCACTCCCATCCCAGCACACACATCCTCGTGCGAGAGCGGCGTGCGGGGGGAGGGGAGGGGCGCCTGTCGCAGCCTTCCCCGGCCGGAAACGCCTACCGCGCGCCTGTCGGGCCGCCTCCACATCCTGATCCTGCTCCTGGGCAGTCGAGGCGCGGCGGGCGCTCTCCTCTGGAGCCAGGCTGGAGACGGCAGAGGCATCTCATCAGCAAATGTGCGACCTGAATAAAGTCGCGACCGATCGCCCGTCGCATGCAGAGGTTCCCAATGCTATAAGTGTCTGGAAAATTATACCAGAAGCATCCGTTAGCATAGGCAAGCGGTTCCCATCTCCGGTGCACAGGCGCGAACCTTCATCTTGGCCGGGGTGGGCCTTTGGGACATTCCATCCAGCAACTTAAAGATAGCCGGGCTTATGGCGGGAAACGGAACAAAATGAAATCCTGGGGCACGGGAGAACGTCTCCAATTACGTCATATGGTCTCCACAACGCAATACTTTAAGCTCAAAAAGACAAGCCGCGTCTTCTCAATGGCGGTGGAATTGAACGCAAGATGGGGGGGGGGGGGGGGGCAAGCACGGATAATTGCGAAGCTGGAAAACGCAATCATTACGAAGGAAAGTCAGCGACACGTCAGGAAACGAGGCACTTCTCAGGAAGGCATGTCGCGGCACGGACACGCTGCGAATGAGTTGAATGTCATTTGATCGGGCAACTCTGGAATGTTTCCAATATTGTTCTGTTGAGAACACCTCTGAAACCTAGGGCGGTGGTGCAGGCAGGGGGAAGACACAGGGGGCACGTCCCCCCCCCCCCGTCCTAGGTTCCACGGGTCCTTTGGGCCCCTTGGAACGTACCATTAATGACCCAACTGGGGCCCACAGAGTCCGAAAGGCCGGCCGGAGGTCGCATTCAGGGGCTCAGGCATCAAGGTGCTCCGAGTCGGTATGGGCTCGAGGACCCACTTCCCAATCAGCTATATAGCCGTTGCCAGTAATTTACACTGGTCGGGGCATTGCATCTGCCACGGGCCCACAGCACCTAACAGAGGATCCTGTGCTCGCAAGGGCCCCGAGCCGACCAAGGGAGGTGTTCGATGACGCCCAAAGGAGGGCACGGGCGGTCCACCGCAACCGACGATCAAGGGCTGGGCCGCAGGGCATAAGGGCCCGATGGACTGGCTGAAGGTTGCATAAAAATCGCGTCCCGTAGGGTCGTGACCTGAAATATTAGTTAGAGGTCCTCGCCCACCGTTTGAAGAACCCCTGAGACAATGCGGATATCTAAGTCGGTCACAGACCACGTATACCGAACAATCAACTCCATGCTCGTTTGAGCCCGTGAGAGCCATTTCTCAAGGAGGAACGAGACCGGGGCGCGCGATTTACAATGTTCGAGGTCTCTGATTCAACGAGGGGCTCCTGTGCCAGTTATTTGGCCACTTGCAGCCATCAGGGATGTTGTTGCATCAATAAGCACCCATGTATCGATCCGGGGTCACTGGTACGGCTCGGAAGGCCTCCCGCGTCACGGAGCGGACCAATGTGATATGATGTATCTCTCCGAGCGGCTCCGGATCGGTAAGGGGTCCCGCCCCGTGTCGCCAGAATGACGGCCGGAAGGCACGCGACGGCAGGACAGAGTGGCCGTTCAGCCCTTCACTGGGAGCAATAATATGTCCCGCAGTGTTCTACATACGGGGGCCGCTTTCCCGGAAAGAGATGGGGGGTATCATTAGTGTTCAATGGAGTGGGTCGAAAAGAGTTTAAAATGCACAAGGCCATGCCATGTTTGCTCGAGAACATTATTTTGCAGAATCAACTAGTGAAAGAAATAGCATCAAAGGGTTTGAGCCTGCGCGTCGCACGCCGATAGTGTAACCTGCGTGAACAACTGTGCGTCTAGGAAACCAGAGGTGCGGGGTTAGATTCCCCGCGGCGCCCACCCTTCCTGTCAGAGTGAGAGGTAGGCGACGTCATAGGCATCAGCAGCTGAGTGCGTCTTAAAGCCCCAATGACACATCCGCAGTCTCGGGAAGCAAAGACGACGATGGCCTGGTTTCCCTCAGACCGAAAGGCGTTGGCCAATGCCAGTAGCGCCAAGCGGCGGGCGCCGTGCATGCAGCAACGCCCATTGTAAAATAATGTTTCTGAATGTCCTTCAAATTAATTTGTAACAGAGGTCCTGCATTTACTGTTCCAGTTCCACCACCAGATTCCAGCACCTCTTCTCCGTGTTGTAAGGGCAATCCGTAACAAGCATCAATCTAAAAATCACACAGGTGAAATATGCAACTGGAATATCTCTAATTGCACGAGTTTATGACCTAAGGCCTTCAAAGCTACTGATTTCAAATGTGTCCTCATTTTCACCACGCATTGATCACGAACTATGTTAGCCGTGGCGCCGACGCTGCGCGGCCTATGGAGACTACAATGCCCGGCGTCAAGGCTTTTATTGCCAAAATATGCGAACGCGCGTGTTAAAAACCCCGCTACGTAATTTAAATCACTAATCGATTCTGGCTGAATGTTGAACGTTCCCAGGCACACATGGCTTGGTGTCGTTAATACCAAGATAAAAATTTGGCAGTTTCTGAGTTCTATCGGTATACAAATAGTCAAATGGACCATTGTAAAATGAAGAGCGCCGGCGATTGATTCCGTGCAGCGTGGCTTTTTCAGTTTACCGACATCAATGTCGGGCAGAATTGATCTCGCGGTAGCACGTGTCTTCTATTCCAGTTATGAAAGGCAATCACGCTCATATACAAACCCACACACACACATACATGTATATATATACATACATATATATATATATATATATATATATATATATATATATATATATCAAATATATATCAAAGAAAAGCATGCCTTAATTAACAACAGGGTCACATCCAGCGGTTTTTTTTTGGGGGGGGGGCTTTGTCAACTCTGCCTCCCTTGCCAGGTTCTGGCTGCGCGTCGGGCCTAGGGCCATCCAGCGCAGGGGAGGGTGCGTTCCCCGCAAATTTGTGAAATTTTGGCATTATTCCCATTGTCTTCAATGGAAAAACGCCCCCAACATACACATTTTCGCAATGTTTCGTCCCGTGGCAGTCATTGCCACCAAGCCCTTGTCAGCCTGCTTGTTAATAGGTTGCGTCCTGCTGCTCGGAAGCGAGGGCCGTCCCTCTTATGCGGTCTTGAGCCGCCCTGAAGGTTGGTGTTGGAGCAGCTGTATTTACAACAGGTGCAACTCACCTGGCTCGCCGGCCCCTCTCCACTTCCCTGGTGAGGTGGCGACGATTTACATTGGCGATGGCCCCAGGAGCCGAGGGCAGATCCGTCTTGCTGTCGGTGTTGGCTTTCTTCATGTTTTCAGTTATAAATTGCGTCGGAATATTATAGTTTGTGGGAATAGATCAACTAAAAGCAAACCCCCGAGCCATCAACGTCAACACCAAATTGGGGAGACCCTTGCGTACCCGGCCCTGCCCCCATACGGGTCGGCAAGGTTTCACAAAGATTAGCTAAGGTTTAACAATTTTGGTATCTATATGACGTCAGAGCAAACAGAGCGCATGCAAGTCTTTCGGGCGTATTAGGACGATTACAGATGACCGATAGTTTTGGCATGGCATGATGTATTTTACAAACGTCTGCGCCTTAGCTGGGTATGACAATGAATGTGACTTACATGGTCATTGGCTCATAAGAATGATTTAAACAGGAACATTTAGTGTAATACTTTTTAAAAACGATCTAGCCCCGGCGACATGCTTCCAGATGGCTTGTGACGTAGCACAAAGACTTCTGGGTTTGACACCGGACATTTTTAAAGGACTTTGTGGTGGAGAGCTTCCGAACGACGTGATCGATCCCAACACGAATTCGTCTCACATTTTCCCAAGTTCTGCTCTCCCATGTGGTTCATGCTCAAGGCATATTGTTCTTGCACGCAGATGAAACCCAACAAAAAATGTTGTGGGCTGGCTATAACTGAGCTATGACGGAACCAGGAGAGCTGTAAGTGAGGTGAACAAAATTATAGAGAGAGAGCGAGAGAGAGAGAGAGAGAGAGAGAGAGAGAGAGAGAGAGAGAGAGAGAGAGAGAGAGAGAGAGAGAGAGAGAGAGAGAGAGAGAGAGAGAGAGAGAGAGAGAGAGAGAGAGAGAGAGGAGAGAGAGAGAGAGGAGAGAGAGAGAGATAGAGAGAGAGAGAGAGAGAGAGAGAGAGAGAGAGAGAGGAGAGAGAGAGAGAGAGAGAGAGAGAGAGAGAGAGAGAAGAGAGAGAAGGACGAGAGAGAGAGAGAGGAGGAGAGAGAGAGAGAGAGAGAGAGAGAGAGAGGAGAGAGAGGAGAGAGAGAGAGAGAGAGAAGAGAGAGAGAGAGAGAGAGAGAGAAGAGAGAGAGAGAGAGAGAGAGAGAGAGAGAGAGAGAGAGAGAGAGAGAGAGAGAGAGAGAGAGGAGAGAGAGAGAGAGAGAGAGAGAGAGAGAGAGAGAGAGAGAGAGAGAGAGAGGAGAGGAGAGAGAGAGAGAGAGAGAGAGAGAGAGAGAGAGAGAGAGAGAGAGAGGAGAGAGAGATAGAGAGAGAGAGAGGAGAGAGAGAGAGGAGAGTAGAGAGAGAGAGAGAGAGAGAGAGAGAGAGAGAGATGAGGGGTGGCCGGGTGTTGGGACATTACGACTGCTATGGCCGCAGTTTTTGATGGATGGATAAACATATATAAATATTTCATTTAGGATCCTCCGTAATAAAGTTTTTCCCGCATCCGCTTCACACACATTGGACTCGAAAGCAAAAACACAAGGACATTACATATGGTGATAATAACGGCACTATAGATTCATCTCGATCACATGCAGTCGCGTGCAGTCATCTTGCCTACAGGTAAGCGACTAGACCGTTCCTAAAGGCCAAGTCACTGGATGCCTGGCGAACGTCTGATGACAGCCAATACCACATGTGAGTCGCTCGGGAAAAAGTTATCGACGCAGGAAGGTGCGCACTTGCTTGAGTTGTATCATACTGTCAGCTGTAGCCCAGGTGGCGCGTGAAGAGGCCGGGGCGCTATGAAAGGCCACTTCTATAAGTTTAGCAGGATCGTCTAAGCACCGGACGGGTATCAGCGTGACATTGGAGCTGGTCGTGGCCGCCTGCGTGACGGTCCTCGAAGCTTCGATACTCCTCGACGTCAGGGCCGAGGATGAGGACGAACCGGAGTTGCACGAGATATACGCACCCATCGTCCATGAGGTTCGGGAGCACGTGGGGCGCAGGACCATGTACAAACAGGTGGTATTTCCCACTCTGGGCAGGCCGTATATTCGGTCTTCTGGAAGAGCATCGTCTAGGACATTAGCCACACCGGTCTGAACGACAGGGTGTACCACAAGCAGGCACAAACGACATCGTCCCCATCGGTGACGGCATGTTTGTCCATACACCGAATGCTACCCGGAAGCAAAGGGATTAACTGCACGGTGTCGGCGGGCCAGAATACGGCATGTTCACCTACTCCCCCGCCTCGCGCCGAGCTTTCTAGCACTGGTCTGCCCAAAACGTACGACTGCGACCTCTGGAAGGCTGGCTCCACCTTCATAGTCACCGCCTGTCTGACCGGCGCCAAGGACAACTTCTCCACGTTCAGCTTCGACTGCTCCGATCTGATCTGGAGCTGCGATGCTGTCGACGGGACCTTCTCCCTTGAAAAGGTTACACACTGCGGACGGGCCTGCGAGAGTACCTTGCTGGCGTTCACTTCACAGCGTATCTGCGCACATCTTTCCCGCCCGCGCACACCTTTCCCGTTTTCCCACCGTAAGGCAGGATCATGGATTTCCGCTGGTAAAAGTTACGGAGGAGTATGGCCGCTGAACACCATTCCTGGAAACCAGGATGTAGCTTCGCCGAAAAGGTTGGGGGAGGGATGAACGGTGAAAAATGACGAAACCCATCCATAGAAATGCGCCAGCAATCGGCTTTCTCTCCAGATTTGAGCTAATGGGGGTAAATCCTAATGTAGTGGGAGGATGGCGCCGCTCCAATTGAGTTGGGAACCGGGTCATTCAGGATAACATTCGATTCCGCGCTAAGAACATTCCTAATGCATTCCGCAGTCGGGACGAAAACTAGCGTCATATCATAGTGGTTGTTGTACAACCAGACATACCTTATGATCGCAACTTCATAGCCCTCGTAGCCGAATTTGAGACGTTTGTGCCGCGTGTTTTGTGCCGGATATCCTCTCTGGGGGACGCGACACGGGTCGGGGCATTGTATTGGATCGGGGCGCTTCGCGCGAGGTTGGCACTTCGGCTGGGTAGCTGTGTTTCAAATTATCGGCACGTCTAATATCCTTCAGCGCACTAGGTGAGTTTGATGCTTGCGTTTAGATGGAATGTTCGGTTCCCGTTAGGACAGCAGGGGCTGATCAGGACTTTGGGGGGGGGCTGATCGTTATTGTAGAATGTCATTCAAAGTGCCTGGTGGTGAATCTCACGCACACAGATATGGCTGTATATATATATATATATATATATATATATATATATATAGTATATACAGCAAAATGCACGTGTATATATACAGATACACATAGTATTTTGACATTACCGGGGGGGGGGGGGGTTCAGACTCATGTTGCTGTGCTGCTCATGGAATGGCTGTGTGCAGATATCAGTAATCTGATAATTTGGGTGTCACGATGGAATTAACAGGTCAGTGGGAACCCAGTCAACAGAATAGTGGGCAAAGCTACTGCTTGAAATGGTATTTTATGCTGTTGACACATTTAACTGCTCCAACAGTATCAGGAGAAGAAACCCACAGAATTTACTGCTGGAAATATTACATAGTATGCACATAACAGCATACATCAAACCATTTTGGGGACTAAATTATGGTTTCAGTACCTTAGTACCTCTTGCCATTTGCCCCCCCTCCCCCCACCACCATCCCCCTGAAGCCACCCTTGTGAGGCTGTGCTGGTTTCACTTTTCAAATGGATATGAACAGTCCATGTTGACATTTCCTATAATCAGACATTTATTGAATGGCACAGTTGTCACAGAGACAGGTGTGGTTAAAAAAATATGCTGCAAAAGCAATTCCATATATCCTCTGGCAGCCTGAAAAAAATCCATCCACTGTGCCAGAGGCCTACATGTTATGAATGTGCTGAACCTCACCTTGGTATGTGCTGAACTCAGGCCTTGCCAATTTATGCTTGATTTTCAAACCATTACTGTGACAAATATCCAGCTTTTAGCTGTTTAAAATGAATTTTGAAAATTTCCATATGGATGCATGCCATGATTGCTTGAAACATTGCCAGATATGCTCCTCCCAACATTGTCATTTTGGTCTGGATTTTTAATGTCATCTTGTTAAACTTAAATTGAATTTTGCCCTTAGTCTAGGCATTTGTTATCAATATTTTTTTCTGACAGGAATCAGCTCAGATCTGGTGGCATTTGTTGTTTCCAATTACCAGAATTGGTAGGCCATCAGTATTTTGGTAAACAACACCACCTTGATGCCATGTGTAGCTGCACTTAAACTTGGCTCTGGCAAGGAACAAATTGAACAGGTATCTTTGTTACCACATGTTAGATGTTAGCATGTCTGTTGTAGGGACATGCAGCAATCAGAGATGGTGATTGATGGTTGTCCTTACCTCTGGCAAGATTTGATTAGGGTAAAAATATTTACCCTTAGCTCATCAGTGCATCGCACTGTCACTGGTTAGCCATATGAAAAACTTGAATAACTTTGTTCATTCTCAGTGTGTAATCCCACAAGCCTGCCCTGAAGTGCATAAGCCTGCCCATATGAGGGATGTTTCCATCATCTAAAGATGGTGCAACCAAACTGTTTAGATTGCTGAGTGCATTTGCAAGGAACATTGTGCACATAAATAAGGCAAGTAGTGGTAGCCTTATTCCTTATAGAAAGACCAGGAAAATGGAGATGTAGATTCATTGATATTTTGGCAATTTGCCTGGATCAAAACAAATGGCATAAGTAAATTTTCTGCCAGTTGTATTGACATAGGCATGAGGCCACCACATCAACACTGTCTTTATCTCCATTCTCTTGGTTTTTTTTTCTATGATGAATAAGGCTATTACTATTGTCTTATCTATGAACTGTGCAGGTTTGGCATCCATTCCATATGCAATGCAATTCCAATCCATTCCATATGCATCCATTCCACAGCAACCGTTGTTTTCAATGTGACCACATGTCTGAACCACTAGCTCGGGCTGGCAAACAATCCACCCTAGGGGAAGAAGCCATGCAGCTGGTCCATGCCATTGGCTGACACCATCCTGCTGCGTACCCCCTCAGCCTGCCACAGAATGAAGAAGGGTGAGCTAGCGCCACTGGAGCGGCAGTCGAAAGTCAGAGAGCATGAGGAGGGGGAGGAGGAGGAGGAGGAGGTGTACTGCATCTGCCGCTCAGCCGACAGCACTCGCTTCATGATTGCCTGCGACAATTGCGAGGAGTGGTACCACGGCGACTGCATATCCGTCACCGAGCGCGAGGCCAAGCACATCAAGCGCTTCTACTGCCACCGCTGTCGTAAGCGGGATCCCGAGCTGAAGATCCGCTACAAAGACAAGAGCCGCGGCAGCCGACACGGCGACGAGCGCGGCGAGAAGACGGAGCGCAGCGAGAAGAGCGACAGGAGCGAGAAGGCTGAAAGAAGTGAAAAGGCCGACAAGAGCGAAAAGGTCGACAAGAGCGAGAAGACGGACAAGAGCGAGAAGGCCGACCGGGGCGAGAAGGCTGAGAAAGAGCGAGAGAAGTGACAAGAGCGACAAGGGTGAGAAGCGGACCCCGAGAAGAGCGCGACAAGCACCGCGACTCGAAGAAGGCGGCGCGCGCTGAGCGTGAGTCGGTGCCGCCGCCGCAGCCGCCGCCCCCCACCTCCGCCGGCGTCGGTGGCGCCGCCGCCAGGGTGCGGCCGCTGCGCGCCTTGTCAGCGCGCGGCCGACTGCGGCCGCTGCGCCGCCTGCCGCGACGCGCCGGCCTTCGGCGGCGCTGGCCTCCAGTCGCGGCCGTGCAGGCGGCGACTGTGCGCCGGCCCGCCAGCCCTCGCCGCCGCCGCCGACGTCGCCGCCGCTGCGCGAGACGAACCGGCCGGCGCCGCGGCCCGAGGAGGCGGCGCCGGCGCCGGCGCCGCGCCGGCGATCGAGTGAGCCGCGCCGCGCTGCCGGCGCGCGTCGGCGCAAGCGCGAGCTGTCAGATGACGAGGACGAGGCGGACGGATCGGGCAAGCAGTGCTACGGGCCGCAGTGTGTCAAGCCAGCCGGCAGGGAAGCCGCTACTTGCTCCGATCAGTGCGGTCTTAACCTGGCCAGGAACAGGATCTTCCAGGTGGGTGGCCGCGACGGGGTGGGAGCTGTCTCAAGGTCGCTCGGTGTAAGGGTTTGCAGCACCGGGTGACTAACATACCTGTGTCGGAACTGTAATTAGTCTGTGCCGGAGGGCATGCGCCAGGCAATGACGTCAGCTGCTCATGTTTTACCCGTCTCTACATCATCCGCTGTTTTGTTCAACTCATATCGCCAGCCATCTCTCGCCAGCTACCTCCCGCAACATGCATCGTCGCACGCCCATTTTGCAGTGACATGTCTCACTGCGTCCACCAGCAACGCATGCTTGGGCGTTCTCCCTACCCGCACAATGGCGCTTTGGCGCTACCTGTGCGATACGGCTCCACTCTCCTGTCTGAGCAGTTGCTTGTCATGTGAGGAGCGTGAAATGGCTGTAGCGGCCGAACTGCACTTTCGTACCAACCATTACCATGGTGCCGACAACGCGCTCGTGGCTCTGACCCAGCGCCGGGGCCGCGCCGCCAGGTGCTGCCTCAGCGCATCCAGAGTGGAACATGACACGCTGCGTGGCCGAGGACCGCAACATGCGCACCCTTGGAGCGCATCCGGCGCGAGCAGCTGGAGGCGCAGACGCAGCTGGAGCGGCTGACGGCGCTCGCACCACGAGCTGGGACCGTGTGGTGGACCGCGGTCGGCGCGGCACGGTCGACCCCTCGGCGCTGGAGGACGACACCGAGGAGGAGCAGCAACAGCGTCCACTGCGTCACGTGTGGCCACGAGGTGGCCACCAGGAACGCCGTGCGCCACATGGAGAAGTGCTTCGGCAAAGTACGAGAGTCAGACGTCGTTCGGCTCGCTCTACCAGACGCGCGTGGAGGGGTTCAACATGTTCTGGCGACTTCTAACAACGCGGGCCAACAGGACGTACTGCAAGCGGCTGCGCGTGCTATGCCCCGAGCACAGCAAGAACCCGAAGGTAGGTTGGGGAAGGCAAGGGTGCGCGCCCACAGACTGGACAGTTTACTTCAGCAGCCTTGAGGGTGAAAGCTAATGTTATGCCTTTGACATTCGATGAAGAAGTGGGAGAGTAATACCTCCCGACCTCCCAATGGTCAGCACTGGCGGGGATGTCTTGCGCGAGCAAAAGTGGGAGCTGCGGGTGGGTGCAGTGACATGCACGACTCAGTTTGAAAGGGCGAGGGCATCGCCGGGAATAACGGGGTTTTAATCAAGACCGTGTCAGGAGGTGGCCGCCAGGAGCGACGGCATTGATCGTGCCACTATTGCACCAATTCTGCCCGAGGATAAGTCATCTGGGCGTTTGTTGGCTTTGACGTCATAGGACTGGGTACCCGACACAACAGCCCCCAGCGCATGCCCGGGTTTTCTCTGGCACAGTTTGACTCCGCGCTCATTGCCGCCGAATGACGAGGCTCCCAAATGTCCGCGGTTTCCTAAATTATCCTCGCTTGTGTCCCGTGCCTCTCATCCCAGCTATTCCCTGTTCCATGTGTCTATAATACCCGTCGTCTGCCATCCCCCGGCCCCCCGCAGCTCACGTGTGCCGGTGTCTCCCCTGACCCGGTGTCGTCGCCTGTCCGCGAGGTGTCTGGTTCCCCGTCGTCTGCCCCTCCCCGGCCCCCCCGCAGCTCACGTGCGCCGGTGTCTCCCCTGACCCGGTGTCGTCCCTGTCCGCAGGTGTCTGTTCCCCGTCGTCTGCCCCTCCCCGGCCCCCTGCAGCTCACGTGCGCCGGTGTCCTCCCCTGACCCGGTGTCGTCCCTGTCCGCAGGTGTCTGATGACGAGGTGTGCGGCTGCCCCCTGGTGGCGGACGTCTTCACGTCCAATAGGCCAGTTTCTGCCGCGCCCCGAAGAAGAAGTGCCTAAAACACTTCAGCTGGGAGAAGCTGCGCCGCGCCGAGCTCGACATGGAGCGGGTGGTACGGCGGGGGGGGGGGGGGCGGGGGACGCTCGGGTCACAGCGGGCCTGGCGAGAGCCGATGCCACACGTGTGTATCGGACCGCTGGGAGCGCGGCTGTGGAGCTGATGATGAGAGGACCCGATGCGGATGAGATGGGAAGTAACGGTCACATGTGGTCCAAAAGATGTCAGCAGTGATACGTACTTACGTGAGACTGCGCTCTGGTTTGGATGGCTTATGCTTGCTTGCTGTGACGGCTTGAATAGGAAACTATGAGAGGAGTGCGAAAGATTTTAACGTGGACGGCAGGGGCTTTGTCTAGGCTGCTGCTCAAGCAGGGATTTTTGCTTTACATGTGCTTGTACATTAATATCCATCCTTTGATGGCATTTTGATCAATAATGAAATTATATCCCTCACGGCGTGCATAACCTACCGCACGTCCCGTTGCCTTTTCGTGACAAGCATCCTCTGTAAAAGATGGTTGCCCTTACCATTTAGGAAAACTCTCTGCAATGCCGCTGTCGTACTGAAATGCGGCTACTGCGAGCCAGTTGAGAGCAAATGAATCTCTGGCTTCCTGCATCATCGGCTGCAGTAAGCGGCGCCCTTCGCGCTGTTCGAAGCCATTACCCTACAGCACATCCGTGGCGTTGTAAGTGTGCTTGGTCCTGCACCAGGCGTCTGACCTCCCCCGACCTCGCCTGCCCCGTCGTCAGGTTCGCTGGGCGATGAAGATGGACGAGCTGCTGGAACAGGAGCGGCAGTGCCGGCAGAGCATGGCCAACAGGGCCGGCGTGCTGGCGCTGATGCTGCACTCCACTTCGACCACGACGTCATGGAGAAGGTGCAGAGCCAGCAGAAGAAGATGGCCAGCAAGGTGAAGGTCAAGGTGTCCTAGAGTCATGCCAGGGAGGTGACTGTTCCGCGTGCAGGGTGGTCAGGGGGGTTGGCCCACCAGTGGGACACCTTCGGTGTTAGCAGGATTGCAGCCGCGCTGAGGTGGCTGGCCGCCACATGATATCTCGGGTTAACCTGAGCTGGCTTGGGCTGCCCAACAACCGCGGCAGCCATACTGTGTGGGCTCGAGGTGTCCTAAAGATCGGAACTGTAGTGCTCCAAGTCCCCCCAGATGAGCGTGTCCCCCTCAAGAGGTCCAACTGAATGCTATGCCGCGAAAGGTGGCCTTGATCAAGAATAAGGTGGGTCCGATCGAAGGGGATTAGTCCAATGTAGAGGAGGGTGTCCAGGACGATGCTGGAGCTCTAATAGGATGGCTGCGCTGCCATGGGCTGAAAATGTGGCGCACCGATATGGGTTCTGCGATCACAGCAGGCTTGTGTTTCGTGGTGTGTTGAGCCGACGGGATGGCGAAGTTCAAGCAAAGCACCGACCAAAATATGCGTTCGTTCATATTCTCATCATGTTTTTTTTCTCGCCTTGTTGGCATTGATTGCATCGTAATTTGCGGCAATACATGCTTTTGCTCGGTCTCTAAGTGTTTGCGGTCTTACGTTGGTCTTACGCCCTGCTGACAGTGCTGGAAACTCCGACTAGCCAATCACGAATCATTGTGGGGAAGTGAAACTGTGGTTGATAAAAGTTTGGACATCGAAGGTGTATTGGGAAGGTCACTCTTTTTCGAGTGAAACCTGTATTTCTTTGTATGTTTTCTACAATCATATAAGTGCTATTGCCCCATTCCCCTTGCAGGGGGTCATGCAGCACCCCGCAAACACACCTTGGATTGAGTTTCAAACACGATCCTCCTTGGTTTGTACGGGTGAAGCTGATACGTTAATGGGAGACCGCGACTGGTAGCAGTCACGTCATTCGTCGCTGGTTCGAATTCGTTGCGTATGTACGCCATCTGCCGGTGTCGACGGCTGGTACACGATTACACGCGTCGATTCGTCCTCGGGGGCGTGACTTGTGCATAATAAACAGGAGCAAGCTGGCCACCCACCAACACCATAGACGAACACAAAATCTTCTAATTTAGTTGAAATATGGCGTTACTGATTTTTGTCAGCTCGAGTGTTTACTTGAGCTTGGAGTTCCCTGTCTGCTTTCCTTGTTATGGTTTTGAATGGGAATAAAACTGTACGTACTCACGAGTACATGAGAGCGCAAGACGTTTCCCTATCTATGTTGTCCACCACATGAAAATGATGCACAAAAAACCGCCAATTAGGTGTCCCTGTCTCACTCTAGCTGCGGGCTATATTGGCAAAGAATCCCGTGCATAGCGGCCTAGACGGGACCTTTCAACCCCCACTTTGGAACAGTTTCATGGTTCACTCGGCATAACTGACCAGTAGGCTAACAGCCAGTAAAGTTGGTTTTAGTCAGGTTGGTCCCAATAAGTTCCGTCAAGTAGATTTATAACACAATTAAAACTACTGCTTGCTTGAATTTAAAGCTATCAGCCGGCATCTCATAACACATGAGATTACTGCGAAGCCGTCTGATACCCACGTTGTCCATGTTGAAACGCGCGAGGCTCCATTCCCGACCTCGGCCTGGGTTATTGCAGACCCCGTCACTCGAGCGTGTGAACGATGATTCGAGCCATATTTTGGATGTCACTCAACCCACAACCTGTTCTGCTTGTTGTTTATTGGAACGCCATATCATGGAACTGCGACACAAATAACGTACATTCCATCGTCGAAGGTGATTCACTCTATTTAGTTCGGTCGTGGCCACTGACTGCACGTGCAACAAAACCCGTTTGATTTCACAGACTCCCACACAGTTGTCCCCACGTGCCAAGCTCCCAGTTGTTCCGAAACTCGTGTCGCATTAATAAAAACAGCAAAACAACACAAACTGTAGTCTGGACAGTGCTTGGGGTCAAGCGACGTCCGATCCTCTGTGCTTCATCTAAGCCCGGGAATGAAACCGCTGGGAAAACTGAATCGCACTAACTGACAGTAGACTGACTGTTGGCTTAAGCATGCAGCTGTGCACTAACATCCCTGTGCTGCTTTAACCAGCATCCCACACTGAAGGCTCCAGGTTGGAGAAGAAGCAGGCATAAAGGACGAACTGCGGCCAAGTTTCATTCCTATGACAGTCGTGCTGGGTGACTTAAACAAGAAAAGAAAACGGTGCCCTTAGATAACATAGTGGCTGAAAGTAACGATGCAATCTGTAAAGGACGCCAGAGATGCGTGTAAGCCCCTAGAACACCCCCGTCCCTATCCCCTCCACGCAGGTAGGCTCGGATGCCTACCGCCTACCCTGTACGGGTCTTCAGTGACACGTGAGTCGCGCACCGCCCGTCAAGCCGAGGACTGCGGCAGTGAGGTGAGGACCGCCTCGAACGGCAGGCAGTTGCGCGTGAGGCCCATGGTGGCCTCCTCCGTGGGCGGCAGCCGGCCGGGCGGCAGCGCGACGGTGAACTCGCGCAGCAGGCCGCCCATCATCAGGAAGTGGTACGCCTGGGCGTACTCCTCGCCGGTGCAGCGACGCAGGCCGATCCCATACGGCACCAGGTTCTCGCTGGAAGCGAATACACCGTTGCGCAAGAAACGCTCCGGCCTGAAGCGGGTCCTGTTCGTGCCATAGCTGCTCGTTCCACTGCGTGCCGACGATGTCGTAGCGCAGCACGGCGCCGGACGGCACGCGGTAGCCGCCCACCAGGAACTCGGCCAGGCTCCGGTGCGGCACGCCGGCCGGTGTCAGCGACGAGCGGCGCAGTACCTCGGCCTCGAAGGCTCGCGCCAGGTGCGCATTGCGGCCGCTGCGCCAGCGCCAGCGGCGCGGCGCCGGCGAACTCGGCGCGCAGCCGCTGCTGTACGTCTGGGTGGCGCAGCAGGTAGGTGAGCGCCCACTCGCAGAAGGGCGCTTGTCGTCTCGCAGGCCGGCGTTGAGGAAATCGAAGAAGAACATGACCAAGTCCTCGTCCGTCTCGGGCCGCCAGAGTGGGTCCCGCTTGCTGGCACGAAGCCGTGCGATGAACGTGCCCTCGCGCCGGCCGCCGCGCGCCGCGCACGGCCTCCGCGAACTTCCTCGCGCACGGCATCGCGGTAGCGCAGCACGGCGCCGAAGCCGCTGCGCTCGTGGAAGAGCGTGCGCAGCAGCCGGTTGTCGACCCAGGGGTTCTGCAGCGCGGTCATCTCGGCACTGAACAGTGCCGTCAGGCGCCGCGTCTCCGCCTCCGGCAGCCTGTGGCCTGTAATGACGTGCCAGCACAGGCTCAAGTACCGCGGACGGAAGAGGCTCTTCACCTGCACCGGGCCGCGGGCCGCCCGCAGCTCGCTCACCAGCGCGGCCACCCTCGGCGCCGATCATCGCCTCCAGCTCGGAGGACGAGGTGAGCATGTGGTGCAGCGAGGCGCGAACGAGGCGCGAGTTGCGGCTCCAGCGCGCGCCTTCGGAGACGATGACGCCGCGACGGCCGGCCGAACGAGACGGCCAGCTGCGCTGAGCCAGCGAACCGGCCGTTGGCCGCCTCTTGCGTCATGGCGGCTTGGCTCAGCTCCAGGCCCTCCATGTACACGTGTAGAGCCCGCCGGCGTAGAAGCCGACGACGCTGCCGAAGCGACGCGGAAGCGCCCGCAGCGTGTCGAAGAGGGCGTCACGCGTCGAAGCGCCGACGAAGGCGAGCGTGCCGACGATTGGCAGCGGTGTCGGTCCCGGCGGGCCGCCCGGTGGCCGACGCGGCCAGAGCAGGAGCAACGCGGCGGCGACCACCAGCGTTGCCAGCAGCGCCGGTGGCACGACCAGGTCCTTGGGCAGCACCTCCTCCAGCATGGTTAGGACGGCGGCGCGGGAGCGTGGAGGTCAACTGCAGAGACGGCGAGCGTGGAGCGGTCTGACAGCGGGTCGCCGCTGAAGGCAAACGGATGACGTTGGCTAGGAGAGACGGCGACGAGGCACGCCGGGCGAGGCGGGGCCACCGACGGCGGCTGCAGCTGACAGGAGGTGGAGGGCGAGCTCAGGCAGCGGCGGTTCCAACAGCGAACCTCGCGGCACACGTTTCGCCTACCGCACTTACCGTTCGTCCACCGCGCCTGGAGACGTCGCTGGGGTCGCCTGAGTAAGCTACGGCTGGTCGCTGCAGGGGTCGTATGGCGTCTCCGCGGGATCGTTTACTGCCTGTTCAACATTCGCCAGGTGTTTCGTGACAGATCCGCTGTCACATGCGGCACAGTCTCCCGGAATGTGTTACTCGGTCGCGACTGTCATGACTTGTATGCCTCAGGTTTGCCCGGACTTCAGTTTTGTCGTGCAAAGAATGGTGCGCTTCTAATAGCCGCACAATTGGCGCCGTGGCATAGTCTGTGAGTGAACGACGAGACTACACGCTCATAGGCAGCCGAGCAGGCAGTTCACAAGGTAACAGAATAAATCTCACGGCTTATTACCGGTACAGAGGAAGTGGAAGTGGGATAGATCGGAAATTATTTCCTTAGCAACCCGCATGATTACTTAAACTTTTGGTTACGCGAACCTGACAGCCAAGTGACGCACTCGAGGACTAGATTTCCTACTGAATACGACGTTTCATCGCCTATTTTGTTGGGCCAATGCAGCTTTTCTCAATAACATGGCTTCCTATAAAATCGACGTCATGAAATCCAAGAATGTAGCTTTTTCTGTGAGATCTGGATCTAATTTTGCTACTTCAATATATAATGAAGGTAAATTGGAACAACTTAGTCTACTTTTCTGTTGTATGCCATGCATTTCAGTAGGACTTTGTTTTAACTGATCACCAAAAATGCAGCTGAAATAAACCAAATGAACACTTGTACCAAATTTGATACCCCACAACTAAAATCAGCACTTCACCACCGATTGGATTATTGCCACTACTGCAAACGTTTCCACCACCAGTTTTAGGAAGTCATTAACTGCAAAACTGCAAGTTATCATGTCACCAAAGGCACGGAAAATATGTCCGGAAAAACATAATCCGCCAAATCGGCTGAGGTTTCACCAAATAAGTGAAACAAATCACCAAGAACTGGCAGGAAACCAAAACTTTGTACCAGAAGCTCAGATACTCAGCCATCAGTAAAAACAACCATATTCCGAGCCAAGTCGGCATTAACCTGCGAATGTTTTGGGGCACGGATGCCATTATTCACACTGGAGCTACGTTCTATCGAACACACCTTCAGATCCAGGGGTGCAGCTAGTTGGTGTGTGTGTGTGTGTCGGGGGGGGGGGGGGGGGGCGCTGAAACAAGGTGGCTCCCTGTATCTAGGCACAGAGTGCTTAGCAAGGGCGGCTGTGCTGGCAAGGGGCTCCTTGTCGACCAGAGGTACATTTTGCGGAATGGCGATAGGACGGGACGCTACATTTCAGAGATCCACTTACGTTGGACGAGTTCCTTTTGCCTGCCATGGGATTGAAATACAGGAAATGGCCATGAAATGATCCACAATGAGACAGTGAAGGACCTGGCCAGTCACGGGCTATGATGCCGAACAGGGACCCTAAAGAGCCCCTGGGCCCGAGCTCCAAAATGGACTCAGGACCCCGTTTGAGCCGGTTTTCTGAGAACCTTACCTGCGGTACGTGCTGCGTTCCACACACGTGCTTGGTTGGTGCATTTGATTGTTGTCATAATCGTCTTAAGAGGCTTTTTTAATTTGTGGATTTTGGGATCAGAGCTCACCCAAAAGCAGGGTTATTGTGTGTGCCCTAGGACCCCACTTATTAAATTGTGAAATTTCAATTCCACCGCAAAACTTCATGAAAAAACCTTGCATGCACCGTAGCGCTTGGCACGGTACGCTGCCCTTTGTCCCCCTGACATTGGACAGCCGCTGCCACCGGTCGCAGACCATCCAAGTCAGAAGTCAAATAGCGAGCGCATGTAGACGCAGCCAAGATCGAAAATGCGGAAGCCCACCTCCACCTCGCCACCACGTTTACGTTATGAGTTCTCACTAGGTTCCACGTCGCCCTCCGTGTTTCGTTATCATGGATGTGCCCCTGCGAGGGCGTACATAGCGACTTGAACTCCCATACCGCCACGGGTGCGTTGGCATCGCTGGAAGCTGATACAAATTAGGCAACGAAGGGCTACCAGCTGTTCTTTAGGTTACGATTTGGCTTATTGCGGTGATGACCAGATTTTAACTGGCGCCATTGGTGATGAATCAGTCTTCTGGTGGTAAATTGGCCGTTACGGCTTGTTGATTCAGTTGGTGATTAAAGTGTCCATTTTGGTGATGGAAGTGGATATTCCAGTAGTCCAATTAACTTTGTACCTTTCAGACGCCCTTGATTTGATGCGATAACAAAATCCATTGTTGTCGTTGTCATGGATACGAGTCTCCACATACTGGCACGGCAGCAATTGGGCGGATTAAAGTTTAAGGCGTGTTTAAGTGCTGTTTTTATTTATTCATGCTGCTGAAGACTTTCTTGTGTTGGCGTGACAGGAGGCGAGATTTCCTCCACTTACGACGTCATGTTCAATGCATTTTCCATGTTGGCATCTGTTAAGCCTGTAGCATAGCTTTATGGAATGGAAACTTAATTTTTTGTGGCCAGTGTATATTGCACAGGATGTGATCCCAACCCCAAATGCAGTCCAAGCTGACTGCAGCTGCAGATTTGTTTGCAATCCGAGTTTGTATGCAATGCAGTGCATCATGGGTAGTTCGAAGCTCAATCTATGTCCTCTGATTTGCATGATTTGGTGAATGCCATATCGTGAGTTTTGCAAGCTGTTTATCTGCTACCCCCAAGGAGATGTAATGTATCTCTGGTTAAATCATTTGCTGGATGCAAGTCATAGCATGCAAGAAACCCACAATACCTTACTGTATTTTGAAGTGAAGTGCACAATGTTGTACACAACAACCTACAATCAGGAGCAACAGTTAAGGCGGAACTGCATTTAAATGGAACAAAACTTTTTAGTGTCTTAAAATTAAGACAGACCTAAACGTTGACAGTTAAAAAAGCGAGAGCACGTGTAAAATGAAGGGCATGGAGAATAACCGATGCTGTTTTCCTTATGCCCCGCTAGAGCTGCTGTACACCTGCAACGCATTACGTTTGAGTTTTAGTGAATTTTTACGCTTAGCCTTCACTACCTGTGAAATTTTCAGCACGTCCCCAGCGGGTTGCGTTTCAATTTACGTCAGTTGGCGTACTTCAACCATGCTGAACGACATGGACTAATTGCAGCAATTAACATGCCCTGGTGTATAATGCTTTTGGTCATCACTAGCCATGTGGGCTAGCTTAGCGTTTGTAGTTCCTGGGCGCTGAGAATGTCGCGGCCGTCGCCTTTGCTGGTTGGAGCCGTGAATGATGTGCGGGGCCGGTGGCTATCTGCTAGTAACAGTACCGATCATCTGCCCGGCATGCGATGCCTAATATATCCACGAATAGCGACGGCCACGGTGGTAGCGTCATCCAACTCCCAGCAAAAATGTCAAAAGTGCATTAAAAACCGGGCTATTGCCTGCTGGGCGTGTTTTCTTATTAGTTCTTATCCTCACGTATGCTTTTGTTTTCTTATTTCGTCCGAGATAGTCCGTTAGTCTGAAGTATAGCCTTTTGACAACATTCCTTCTCTTGTGACGTCCTCTCACGTTAACGTTAACAACACGAATACCTACACGAACCAGGATGGAGTGGCCGGCCAGCGATGAAAAGTGCCTTTTCTGTCACCGACGAAAGTTGGAATCGTCTAAGTTGTTACCTGGGGCAAGATCTTTCAGAAAAAAATGCAACATAACTCTAAATGCGATGCGGCACAAAAAACAAGTGGAACTGAAGTGCAGCGTGGCACAACCATGGAACAGTTTTGCTTCGGTAGTTCATTTGCACTAAAATATTATTTGCCTGCCATCAAACACTGAATGATGAACGAGACTTCACTTAAAAAATCAAGCACAGGCATATGTAACATAACCAGCCCAGAGGCATGCAGCTTCCTTTTCAGTTAGGGGAGGTCGAGCCTTCAAGCCAGGGATGTGGTTTCCCATTCTTATCTATTATATTTATCCATTGATTTTCTGTTATCATAGTCTTTTAAGGTTCAGCCACCCAAAACTGATTTTGAGAAACTACTTTTCTGCTTCCAACCGTGAAAAGAATATGCGCCAGATCTAGATAGAAAACCGTACAAGTTAATCTCGAAAGCACACCCAGCCATTTTTTTGTTGGTACCTCCCCCCCCCCCATCCCCTCCCTGTTCCCCTCGTACCCACAGCCTTGCACTGAACCCAATTTATTACCGTGTGGCGAGCATTTGAGTCCATCTGTCTCAAATAGCACAGCACTTTAAAACGCCGTGCAACAAACTGATCATGTTCGTCGCAAGATGCTGTAGCCCGCCACGATTCTTCTACGACTAGTAATAAGCCTAGTTATTTGGTATGTTATGCTGTTAAGTATGTAGCATGAATTTGCCGAAAAGTCTGTGAGAAGCCCTGCTCTGAGGGGTGTTGAAAAAGCCCTGTGTCACCACTGATCTGTGCTGTCAGCACTGATATCCTATGATTTGTAGTACATTTCAGCCACCTGCTAAAAACTATCCTGATTGAAGCTGCTATGTTTGGCAATGCCTGTGACTCAACTCGCTCATGCAGCGAAACGTCAACTTTATGACGTGCGCTCTACACATGCTCACACTGCAAGCGTTGACGAGTGCAGACCAAAAGTAAGCTTTGAACTAAAAAAATCATGGATAAACGGTATCATAGAATCTCCAGAAGTTTTGCACTGCAGTCTCAGATCATCCACGAAAGGACTCGGAAACGAAATAGTCCCCCATGCCA